TAACCGGTACTTCGAACTCTGTTGTTTTTCCTATCCTCAACAGATATTAAAATATCAAATAAATCAACGAATAAATTAGTATCAAATCGAATATAACATATATTTTGGACATTCACCGAAGCGACCATGTGATTGTTGACATTCACTGGTGAAGGTCGACATTCTCTTGATTTTAGTCATTCGCAGTAGCATGTATGTATATATGTGTGTGTAGATATAAACGCCTCCTGTAATTATGTTTTACAAATGCAATAAATCACATTTAATTAGTTCATTTATCATTCGGTTAGCTAGGAATCAGGCCCACGGCTGTTCGCTGACAAGCGTCAGCCATGCGGTCTGGTTCCAAGATAACGAAATACTTATATTCTAATGTATTTCTGCTCAAATATATTGGATATTACGTTAAAGTTTTTTTAGTATAAGACTAGGTTGGAGTTTAGTGACACATTTAAAAATCCTTCCATTTAATCCATATCTAATATTATTAAAAATTGCAATTTCCTGTATTCATTGAATCATTATTCCTTTACATTTTTATTTCAAGACAGAAACATTACAATTTTGTATTTAAATCAAGGATAATTACAATGTTTTATTTTTGTCTATGAAGTTCGTCAATGAAATTACATATTTGTTATTATGCCAATGGAATTACACTTTCACATTTCTACTATTTTTGATTTATAGAAATAGGGTTAAAACTCCAAAATTTACAATTTGATGCGATGCATTTAAACAGTTTCAAGTGAAAAAGAAATATACTTGATATAAATAGATTAAATAATGCCACTGAAAGAGCGATAGAAAATGATATGAATGATAGTTCTACCTCCCCCTGAGTAATATTTCGCAAGTTCTTTTTCAGATTTTTCAATGTGAAATGATTTCACCATAAACCTTTCTTGGCATAAACGATTTTATTTAGATGCATTCTTATGCCACGGCACAAACATGAAGTATATAGAAAATAATAGTAATTAATCACATAATCAATGAAACTTCGCGCTCCATCATAGAACATTCCAGTCTTCTCACACCAAGCTAGAGAACAGCCCCCAGCTTCTTTTTTTTTCTTAAGTTTTTTCGTATCTCGCTGCGCCATCTATTGTCGACGATTCTTACAAGTCCCCCCAAAGGAAACACATTCGTCACCTTAGAGACAATGCTGCTGAGAGAGAGAGAGAGAAAACCTGAAAAATACAATAAACAAAAAAAAACAGCACCACAGCTTCTATTCAGGTGATGAAATTCTCGCCATCTATTGTCGACGATTCTTACACCCTGTGTCGAAACACAGAACAAAAGAGGGAAACACGTGAGTTGAAAGAAGAAAAAATCACTAACATGTTACAAGAAGTGACTTGACTACTAGGGAGGAGAGAACACGCTAGGAACAAGATAATATCTAAGAAAAGAAGGGAATTAAGAAACAGTCGTGGTGAGTATAGGACTACATACCCTCCAACTGCTACGGAATTCCCGTAGTTTCAGAAATCTTCTTTTCAGACGGTAGCAAAATTAATGTCTCAATATTTAAAAAAAATTAATTTTAGCGTAACTTGTCCACTATTACTTATAAAAGTGCAGGCCATATGGCTATATTCTTAAGTTCTGATAAAAGTTTTATGAGAGATCCATTTGCTTTAAAAATTTCTACTTTGGTTCGCTACCACTAGAAAGAATTATTTTCAAAATCTTCATAAGTTGGAGGGTATGGGACTAAATAAAGAAATTGTGTTACTGGCTGGTGGTCAGTAGTAAATAACAATATAAATAGTGATTACTTTTTTTCAAAAATTGAAGATTCTAAACTCTTAAAAAAACTGTATTATTAACGAAGTGTTTAATTTGAAGCACTTCCCAAAACATGATAAACGCTATAATTTGTTGTAAAATGATTCAGTGACAAATGGCTGCATTGAATAAAGAGACCATATTTGATTATAGCACAAATTTAATAATAGTAAAGCAATAAAAACAACAAAATGATGGTACAATATCTTTATGGATTTTCCAATAAGCCATCCATTCTTATCCATAGCTTGCCACACAAGTGATTACAGAATTATTGCGATTACAACGCCCTCTTTTGATGAGACAGAAATTCGGAACACAGTTAATTTCTGAAATGACGAAAAACTTTTCTGTCTTCTCCAAGTAAGTTCCTATATAGTTTAAGTATTGCGTATAACGTTTTAAAAATAACAAAATTTAGAATTTGAATTTTTTAATTAATGTAACACAAAATTAATACTTATTAACAAAATAAATTTATAATTTCATTTAGTTCAGATTAATTAATAAAATCTGAACTAAAATCACCATCATAAAATTATATTAGATACATTACTTTTAATTAAAACCAACCATAAATTAAAACAAAGCGAGATTAAGTTAACTTGAATGAAACCTTTGATAACCAAATTGAGTCCTCTAAATTTTTAACCGGTTTATAACAATCCGAACGTCGCGTGCAATACTGTTTTCCGTATAAAAAATAGTCTGAGAAGTTAAAAAGCACATGCTTTGGAACACGCGTTTTAGGCAAACAAAAGTGGCGATTCACAAAACTAAGTTTTTGAACACCATTATTTATATTAAGTGGCCCTAATGATTTGGGTGACCAGTAATTTTACCTCATAGTGTTGGGGATGAGCTGAGAACCCATTGCAGGTATTGAAAACTATTTTTATTTTAGTTCCTATGTCTTTTAACAGTTGGAGTTTTCACCCATCCTCCCACCTACTTAGCTCCCTTCGTGTGATTATCTATTACTCCCTCTCCCCAATTTGTCAACCCACTTTTCCCTCGCAACATATTGATGATTTTCCTTGATTAAAAACTTTATTTGCTTCAAAAATATACAAAATGGAAATAACAGTCGACATTTTTCAAACTCTCAAAAATAGATGCCTATATTCAAGATTTATCAGAATTGAAACGTTACGTCTCACGTCAACATTTACGTATTGCTGGTCTTGAAAATGAGTGCTTATTCTTGAAGTGCTTGAAACACGTCGACTGTTATTTCCAATTTCTATATTTTTGAAGTGAATAAAGTTTTTAATTACGTAATATCTAATCACTTCAGTTTTTTTTTATTTTTTATTTAATGTTAGTGAGTTGTTTTCTGAATCACTGTATTTCACACTTTCATTCTACATTTTGACATTTGTGAATGCTCTTCATTAACTATAGTTTATGTACAATTGTTTGTACTCGTTTATCTTTAATCATTAAAAAAAAGCTACGTTCATTTTTCTTTTATTTTTTTGCGACTGTTGTTTTCAGCTTACTTGCTAATAGATTGATTTAAGCACAAGCAATAATAAGCTAATTCCGATAACCTTATTCATGGCTATTATAATGTCTTCATGATATACCAAGTATTACATAATTAGGCTCTAAGCATAAGATAATAGCTATAATTTAACACTATTTTAAAATAATAAAATTAAAAATACAATACCCATAAAGAAGTACTTGGTTACACCACTTATTGTTGATAAATGCTTTATTGTCGAACTTCTTTGACTAAAAATGTGCCATTAAAAGTCATCCAATGGAAAACTAAAGGTGATTTTCATTTATAATTTCGATCTGGGTTGAAAGCGCAACGTGAAAACTAAGTTTATTGAAGTTATACTTCTTATGCGACTTCTAACAAGGTTGCGTTAAACGTTTAACGTTACATTTTTATTGGCCGGGGAATCACGTGGTAGAATCCAGTTTTCCCTCATTTATTTCCATATTGTTTTGGTTCTCACTAGCATAAAAATAATAAAGTCATAAGAGTATTGTTTTTTACCACGTTTATATAAACTTGCCTTCGTGTATGTCTGTCCGGGTGGAATTTTGCAATCGATTTTGAACTAACTTCCCGACTAGCCACAAACTTCAAATTTCGCGCATACTTCAGAATTCGTGATCGCAACGAACTACAGGGGGCGTTGTTGTATGAAACTAATACCTGCGATTTCTATATGAACAGTCATTCATTTACTCTTGAGACGTTTTTAATGTAGCGTGTAGCATTGCAACGTTCCTCTTTATCGTGGCTAATTAAATTTAAAAAAGATAAATGTTTAATATCCTTTCTTATGCAAACGAAAACAAAATGGTATCTCTTTTTTTTATAGAAGGAACATCCAAAACACATCGGAAAAATATTTGCACATAAACAGAAAAAAATATGTATATTCTTATAAGAGTTAAAACCTAATGCCCGAGAAATAGTTTTACTAAATTTAATGATATAACATGAAATGCCTATTTAAACTTTACATGCCATAGTTTTAAGAATCATATTACTTCAAAAATTAAAATGAACAAAAAGTATACATAAGCCTCATAATTTTATGAAATTTAATTAAGTAAAAAAAGTTTTTTGACAACAATTTTCATGAAAAGATTTCAAGTTTCAGTAAAAATCATTATTTAGAAACTAAAAAACGTAAAATAAGGAATGCTTACCATACAAAGCAAACAAGAAAAAACCAATTCTAAAAATTCCTTACATTAAAATAAGCAGCTTTCATGTTTTCTCTTTTTTGATTCATAATCGGACGCAGAAAACCATTCTATTCCAGTGGTGCTATGTGGCACTTCCCTGTTGGCAAACAGAAGATAGAGAAGGTGTAGGTCCCAATTTCTTCCATGTTCCTGGATATTTTTATTCATCATTTCTTTTAAAGTCCTATTCCATCGTTCGACAGCACCCATACTCTCGGGGTGTCCGGGAGTGGAAAATCTGGGACATACGCCAAGTAAGTCTTCAAAAGATCGGGTGAGTTTGGCTGTGAAATTAGTTCCCTGATCGGAACAAATCATTTTCGGAAATCCGGTTTGAGAAAAAATCTTCATCAGGACGTTGCATGTGGTCTTTGCACTTATTTCTCTAACAGGGATGGCTTCTGCCCATCTAGTGCATAAATCAATTGCACATATCACAAACCGATGACCTCTTTTGGATGGTGGTTCTAACGGTCCAATGCAATCAACACTTCATACTTCAAAGGGTGTTTCTGGTCTGACGATAGGTTGGATTGGAATTCTATCTTTATATGTGATTGTTCGCTTCAATTGACATTCTTTGCAGCTTTCACAGAACTTCTTAACGTCTTGTTTGATAGTAGGCCAGAAGAATGAATATTTATGTCGTTGAGTTGTCTTTTTCTCACCGAGGTGACCAGCAAGAGGAATTTCATGAGCCATTCTCAGAACTTCTGTTCTTTTCTCTAAGGGTAACACAACTTGTTTGATGTTTTCGCCACAAATATTCTCCGAGTGAAGTAGAATTTCGTTTTGAACTGTATAAGCATTTTTGTTCCTTTTCGCCCATTCAAAGCATTTTTCTAGACTCTCATCTTGTTCTTGAAGAGTCTTAAAATCCAATTTAGTGTCATTTTCCATTCTTGCATTCTTAATGTCTTTTTGTGAAATTTGGGTAATGACAGCACAATTTGAAGTATTTTCTTTCAATGGTGATGGTTCGTCGCTAGAGTCTTCCCCCTCTGAAGAGGTATTCCATTGAAGATTACTGTGACAAAGCTCAATATTTTCACACAGTATCTCATAAGCTGAAGAACTTAGCAGCAAATCGGTTACCAGCTTCTTTGAAACAGCACAGGTGATAGGTACACTACCATGAAGTTCGTCATTTATTTTCATTTGGAAAATTTTCAGTGGAGTGACTTCGCTTTCTCCGAAAGCAGAAGATATCTCTATTTTACTTTCTCCTTCACAAGGTATGTCGGCGACTAACTTCTCGCGGACTACCGATATCTGGGCTCCTGTGTCTACAATGCCATTTAGAACCACGTTTCCGCATTTAACTCTGACGAGTTTTAAATCATCTATGTTTCCAGATATATCCACGGATTTTGAGACAGGAATAGAGATCTTGGCAGTTAGCACTTCTGGTTTTTCTTTTTCTAAAGGGAGTGGTGACGATTGGATTAGATTGTTTTGGGCAGTTGTAGGAGTGTTTCTAGGTTGCCGATTTTTAAGGCAAAATCTGGATGTATGGCCTTCTCTTCCACAAGTATAACAAGATAGTTTGGAAAACGACCTCTGTAGTTCATCACTCTTACGGGGTGTATATGCGCTTGATGAGCCCTGTTTGTAGAATGATTTGTTTCTTGAATTTCTTTCTGAAGGTGGAGAACGAGGTCGCCACTTTTCATTAGTTTTGTCTTTTGAGGGAATTCCAGTTGTTTTCCTTGAATCATTACGTACACTGTCATATTCGTCAAGCTTATCCGCTAATTTGGTTGGAGAAACGAAATTTGCCCACTCATCAAGAAGGTGGTCTCTTACTTCATGAGGTACCTTTTTCTTAAGTTGATCAGTGATAATGAGATTTTTTAAACTGGCAAAGTCTTTGATTTCAAGTCCATCAATCCACTCTTCGAAATAATTCGTGATTTCATAACAAAAATCCCTCCACGATTTTTCAGTGCTTTTCTGGTGCATCACAAACTTTTTTCTAAAACTTTCAGGATTCAATTTAAATCTCTTTAATAAGATGGTCTTAATGTATTCGTAGTCTTCAAATTTTTCTTCAGATTCTCTACCAATTAGTTGAATGATTTCAGAAGGCAATAAAGTTAATAAACATGACACCCAGTCTTTAGAATCAATCCCTGTTCTTTTAGCCTGTCTTTCAAATAAAGATAAATAAATCACAATATCATCATCCCTTAACTTGAATTTAGGAATGAGCTTAATTAAGTCAACGTTATGTTGTACGTTTCCATTGGGCGATGAAGTTTGAGTTAGTTGAGTACGGGATTCAATTTCAAGTTTTTTCAACTCAAATTCCATTTGTTCTCTTTTCTCCTGAGCTTCGATTTCGTCCTTCCTTCGCTGTTCCTCAATTTCTTCCTTCCTTCGCTTCTCTTCCACAATTGAGAAAAACATTTCTCTGGCAAACGCTTCATCATATGTGTCATTTTGTGTTATTTTGTTTTTTAGTATTATAATTTTCATACTTGGATCCACATCAATATATACTTTCCTACAAGTTCACAAATTCGAAACATAAAAATTATTTTAACCAAAATAATTATTCTTAGAACAAAATTCAAATTCTACGTGAGAATGAAAACTTTAACTGAATATTTTAAATCATTAGATGCGATAAGAAATTTATAGATAACTTTCGTATAAATTTCTCATTAAAATGTACGAAAACAAAATATATCATACGTATAAAAAAATTCAACAATGATACAATTCAATATCAAAATAATCAAATAGAATAAAACAAACTCAGTTTTGTATTTTTTTTTCTTATTAAAAGACACTTGCCTCTTCTTTCAGAAATAAAAAAAAAAACATTTTATGCAAAAATAAAAGAAACAGAACAATCGTTTTAGAATGAGACTTCCAAGGTTGGTTGACGCCAAATTATATTCCGTTATTTGATACAACCTATGCTTTTTTTTGTTTGTTTAATAAATCTTAGTTGATATAAATAATAGATCATTCAGCATTCTTTATTTTTGAAATACGATTGCAATGTTATATTTTATGCTGCTTCCAAAAATTTCCAAAACAGAATTTAAAAACCACAATAAATTCAATTTTAAATTTTCAATTACGATACCACGCTATATGTTATGCACTGGCTTGCTTCCAACAATTTCCAAAACAGAACTTAAAAACAACAATAAATTCAATATAATGAAATAAAATTTTCAATTATCTGGGACGAAAATCAAAACAACAAGAACAACCAAATTCTTTTTAGAAATATGCTATCTACGTACTCTGGCGAGTAAAATAATTCACTTTAGAACACTGGCGTGTTCGTACTCTGACGAGTAAACTAAATTAATGTTCCATGTCGAAACACAAACATTTAATTTCCATTTTGTATAATTTTCGCCCAAATAATTATAATTACTTATTTATGGGAGCATACATTTACAAATATAAAGTGAGCTCTCACCTGGTTTTTGGTTCTGCATCATCTTCGGCGGCTGCGCCAGTAATATTTCGCAGGTTCTTTTTCAGATTTTTCAATGTGAAATGATTTCACCATAAACCTTTCTTGGCATAAACGATTTTATTTAGATGCATACTTATGCCACGGAACAAACATGAAGTATATAGAAAATAATAGTAATTAATCACATAATCAATGAAACTTCGCGCTCTATCATAGAACATTCCAGTCTTTTCACACCAAGCTAGAGAACAGCCTCCCGCTTCTTTTTTTTCCTTAAGTTTTTGTCCGTATCTCGCAGCGCCATCTATTGTCGACGATTCTTATACTAACTATTTACAATTAACTTAAAAATATTCTCGTACTGCCATCAGGTGTGTTGTTGTTGTTAATTTACGTCGCACTAGAGCTGCACAATGGGCTATTGGCGACGGTCTGGAAAGCATTCCGGAGGATGATCCGAAGACATGCCATCACAATTTTGATCCTCTGCGGAGGGGATGGCACCCTCGCTGCGGTAGCTCGACGACCTGCGCGCGAAGTCGAGAACTTTACAGTAGCACAGTTTAACGAGGACCAGTACTGCACACCCTCGGTCCCTACGCAGACTGATCCAAGTGGTCACCCACCCGCACACTGACCGTAGCCAGTGATGCTTGACTTCGCCATCAGGTGTGTAAAATGAGAAATAAAATGTTTTCCGGGCAAAAGAAATGAATTAGTTTTATTCTTATTGGCGCGTTACTACTGAACACTCCAGCCCGTTAATATCACGGGAGCGAGAAATAGCGGACGAAAACTCACCCCGTCATTTTCACGGGAGCGAGAAGGAAGGGGTTAAAAAACTATATTGTTTATTACAAACTTATTGTTCGTGAGAAATATTATAGTATTAGCAAAATATTGTATTTTAAGTTCATTAAAAACTATAGGGTTTAAGAAGAATTAAAAATATATATATATTTGCGGACCAAAGTTTTCTAAAGCAGTATCAGATCATATGCTCTAATCACAAAGTTAAAGGATACACAATCCGATCAAGGTTAAGTTACGGAGCTTTGTATATAGTAGTCGCCGCACTCTTATATATCTTAAATTCAAAGAATCAAAAACCATTATCAACCAATCGACCAGTCTCTTCTTTTTTCTTCCTTTCTTTAATTTTAAAAAAAGGAGGGAAAAAAATATGTTTATTGCCATTATAAACTATATTAATGCCATTATATAAATGCCATTTTGTGTTACAGTAAATTTGAGAAACGAAGATAAATTTTTAAAAATTTTGAATTGCACCACGTTTAAATCAAAAAGATGGAAAAGATAATATATTTTTTTTCCTGAATAACCTAGGGTTAAGCTTACGGGTTACTAAGTATTTGAAAAATCCTTAATCAACCAAGTTTTTTTTAAAAAGTAATGCTTATTCAGATAAATGTCACTACATATTACAACAAATTTGAGGTATGAAGGAGAATTTTTTAAAAGTTTTGAATTGCACCACATTTAAATCAAAAAGTTAGAAAAGAAAATACTTTTTTTCCGGTGAATATCTTAGGCTTAATAAGTATTTGAAATGCATTACATTTTCAGTTATATATTAAATTTTTTAGAAACCATCCAGCTTGAGTGATAAAAGACCTCGTCTTATAAGAAATAAGTCTGTTCAGTGGGCAGATTGGGAGCTGCAAGATGTCATCGCATATCCTCCGAAAAAGAAAACAGAAGCTCTCATTGATGAATCGATTCAAACAGAAATTGAGGTAAGTTTAAATGATATGATATGGAAAAAAAATTTTTGAATTTCAAGTTTTATTTGGAATAAGGAAATTTAAACGTCATATATCACTTTATCCATCTCATTCGTTTCATATCTCACCACTCCACCGATAACCAGTTATTCAGGTCATTTAAAAAACTGATAAATATGAAGATTCTTTCTTACTCTATATTTACATCTCAAATATGTATGAATGTAGCATTTTATAGTTTGCCCTTTACTACACATTTTATAGTTTTCCAGTGAGAAACATACTTTTTCTTTGACCTATTTAATGAACCAATTGTAATTACTCAAGTTTCTCTTTTCCATAAAACAATACATCATTACGGCACTATTTGCAAGATATTCCCTAATTTTTAGTCGAGAGCACTTCGATACCTGTGTCACTTGGGTGTCCGTTCTCTCATTATGATGGTTAAATAAAGCATATGGTAATGGTTAAGTAAATGGCTAAATAATATATATATATATNTAAATCATTACCTTAAAAAATTCAATTTTTGTGCTCAGTTTACACATCGGAATAGAATTCATATGGCAAGAATGAAACATTATTTTGAATTATTTGAAATAAAAAAATTGTAAACATTAAAAAATTAAAAATAAAATACAATTATTAATTTATTGGATTTCTAGGGGTGTAGTCACACTCTCTTGACCCCTTTTATGGGTACCATGTCATAACAAATGATTACTCAATGTAAAAACTTTTGAATAACATCTTTTTGGCTATTAAATTTTACAATATTCTAATATAGAATACAAAAAAGTTTTCAAGATTAAATTTTTTTTAATTGTTGTTTCATTCTTCATATTTAATTATATAATAATTATTGTAATAATTTTACCATTTAACATTTTGCGTACTTACATTTATCAAATTACACCTAAATTTATCAGCTTATACAAATTTTAAAATTTAAAATCTAATTAAATATGTGCTTTTTAAAAATATATTCTTCAGATAAAACAGAAATTTTTAGTTTTTAATTGAATATTAGTTTAAGATTAAGTAAATAAAGTATTATTAATGCTGGAGGGAAAAAAATATGTCATCAATTTATCTCTTCAATCATAACATTATCAATCGATGGAATCAATTTCGTTAAGATCTGAAATTTTACAAATAAATCTGCTCAAATGATCACAATGATTATAAACAATTTTCTAGATTTAAATACGGAATTTAAAGAAATTAATATTACTTAATATTTCTCAAAATGTATAATTATTTTATAGCCTCTTCCAAAAGGAGTTACGCCTCTAGTTGATGATATGATTCAAACCTCATTTGAAATTGGGTAACTATTCTGGTATAAGTATAAACGCTTATGTTAATTTTATTTTCAGTTCTTATTAATATTAGCATTTTTTTAACTTTAGATTTCGATGCTTTATGTCATTTTTCATATTTTGAATTGTATTTAATAAAATTTGGCTGCATGAATTTGGTACATTACTACTTACTTAGCTCTGCAGTCTATGAAGGACCTTGGTCTCCTTTAGCACACAGATCCAAATTTTTCTATTCTTGCCTTTATCTTCGAATTTTTTATTTTAATTTTCTGCTTAAATCTCCACGTCAGTACATGTATTCATCTGGAACTTCATACATCAATTTGATTGCAAAATACTTTTTCAATTAAATTTTTTTACATAATTTATATATTCACCACCAAAAATCCAATATGTTATATGATGAACAACATTTAAAAAAAATATTTCAAGTTTTGGTTTGTTTGTTTATATGTTTTCACAAAGTAATTGTCTATGTACAATCAATTATTATAAAAAAAATTATAAGAAAGCAGAGAAATTCAATTCAAGTAGTCTTTAGAACAGTTTCATGGCAAATAAATATCGAATTGTATTTGATTCTAGTGGATTTTGTTTCATCACCAAAATGAGAAGAAATACGCTAAGTATCATAAAATATGAAAAAATATTAAAAATTTAAATTTATCACTTTTTCTGTAATAATTAAAGAATGTATAAAAGTTAAATTTGATAAATTTAGTATTTTCTTTTTAAAAAAAAATCTTCATAGTATTTGTGAATTTATTTTCTTTTTAAACTACATATTTTAAAGAAAATGGCAGTTTCTGTGATTGTTTAACCCTTTTCGGTGCAGTGTAGCCAGTTTGGCAACACGAATTCAACAAATGCTACAAACCATTAGGTATGTTAAACCCAATGCTTTTAAAAGTTTAGCTACCGCTATTCTTTAAACACGTTGTTTAAATTGGAATATATTGGATCGCCTTTTCCAACGTCCTGCCTGACAAAATTTTTTAATTGAAATTTGCTGTTCCGGAAAGGGTTAAAGCTAGGGTTTCAGAAGCATAATGTACTTTTCCTGTAAAATGCAATGTTAAAAAATACTTTTATGTTCTACCGATTTCAGTTCCATTGCATCACGTTCTCGTACGTCCTCCATGAACACCTGCACCACACTGGACGAAGAGGAGGTTAAGCAATCAGCATTAATTGATCTCATCACCCATCTTGAAGATACTGCTGCTCTTTTACGGGAATATCTTATTATGCCACAACCCAAACCAGAAGAACAGAGTTTCATAAAAAATGAACAGACATTTTTCCTACTCAAATACCAAATTGCCTTAGTTTGTTTTACACAGGTAAATTGTCCACCCCTGTTATTAATCATACGTATTATTTGAGAAATACTGGTAATTTGTACTTTAGATGAAATTATTCCATTCTAAATTAACTTTATTTGTATATCAGAACCAAATGATCTATTACGCACAGTTTTTATAGGAGAAAAGCCACGAAACATCTAATAAATTGCATGCTTCGCTTCCTAATGCTTATACAGCCTCGAGATCCGTTAAGGTAGATAAAGCTTTTGTCGCTAAAAATATCGCCAAAAACGTAGCACAGTTGTCGACGGCTCCCCTGTCAACCAGTGTCTTTCCCCAGCCTGTTAGTTGTCATTGTGCATCCGTTGAAATATTTAATGAGCCAAACTAAAATCAGCGTTTTTGGGAAAAGGTTACAAGATAAACAGAAAATTAGAAAAATTCAGCCAAAAATATGGACAAAACACATTTTTTCATATAAAAGACAAGAACAAACGTTTTTGCTAAGATTTGTTCCTTGCTAACGACCGGAATGCTTATATAAATTGCATAGTTTTTTTTTTTTTTATTTATTTATTTAATTTTTTTTTTAACTCGGGACATTTTTTTTTGAGTGGGGCTGTCATGTATGTGAAAAAATACGTAATGTAATTTTATAAATTGTTATAATATTTTTAAAAAAGGGATAATCACTTAAATAAGAAATTATCAACTAAAATCCTTAGGCATGTAATGATTGTTAAACTATTTTTTCTTTTTAAGCTCCTTTACAGTATTTTTCTTATTGCGTTCATATTTAAATAAAATAATAATTGTATCTTATCTTATGAGAGGGGATATTTCTTAAAGATTATATAACAAAAATATTTAGAATTTTTTAGAGTTTAATAGCCTTATTTGCATGGTGGAATCATATTTATCATACTATAACGAATATTTTTCTTTCAAGTAAGCTGTGAGTGTTTAAATTATAATTCTATTCATGTTTGGTTAAATTAAAATCAATTTTCTTCACAGTTAGTGAGTATCCTGATTCTTACCCTGTTCGACAGCTTAGAGGAGGATGTACGAGATACAAGCTATTTCGCACTTGTAAGTTATATACTAAGTTAAAATAAACAGAACTTCTTTTGGGCACCTATTTTTAAGCTAGATGAGACATTTTTCATAAAAGTTGGATTTAAAAAATAAGTTCTTTTACAACTATTATATCTTAAAAATATCTTCACTGTAAAAAATGAATATTCAAATTTCACGAAACTTTGTTTTTGGCGATGTCGTTTCTAGGTACATATACTTCAAGCAGAAATTTCGTCAAAGTGACGAAATAACTAAGTTCTTAAAAGAAATAAATTTCGTCATTCTACTTAAAAAAAAAAAAAAAAAACGCAACGCCTAATGTAGTTAACTTTCCTTATTATCACTTTATTGTGGATATCATACAGGCTGATTAACATATCCCTAACAACATAATAAAGACAGAGAGATAAATTACATCCATGCCAGAAGCGAGATTCAAACCCGAGATCTTCTTGGCACAAGGTTAACTCTTTGACCCCATACATTGTTTCATCACTGTTTTTTTTTTCTTTCAATTGTCTAGTCTTTATTCTAGTTAACAATCTCCCACAATACACTACAATAAGGTTTCGAGTTGCGGAAGCATTTTCATTATCTATGTGAGAATTCGCTTTTCGTCACAAATCATGTGATTTCTTATCGAAATGATTCTCAAAATTAACGAAATACATCTCAAGAATCGCTGAATCGTCAAAAGTGACAGTTTTATTTCATTAAACGAAACATTTTAATAAAAATGTTACGTTTTAATGAAGCAAAAATATTTTCATAAAAATATTTCAATCAAAATTTTAGTTTCTGTCATTCTTGTGTCTAAATATTCTTCGCAGAAATATTCAAAACTAAATTATTATTAAAATTGTTAGTTACGAATATGTAAAAATTCAGATATAAATATACGTTTTGAGCATAACAAACATATAATGAGAAAAAAAGGGATCTCTTTAAATAATTTTTGATTCTTATGATAGGATTTTCAAGTACTAGGACTCAATCAAAATGGTTAGAAAGCCTGACTTTAATGGTAATTGGAGCAGAGCATATTTATGTTACAAAATAATACCCTCAAATGTAATTTCTTTGTATAAACATGCACTTTTTTAGGTGAATTTGAATTCCTGACCCTTAAAATATGGGGGTAGGTAAAGTATATGTTACCAATATTTTATCAGAAAAAACAGTTGAAAGATCGGGACCCTTTATGTTAATTTCATTTTTTTGCGTAGTGCGTCCTCTTAAAGAAATCTTTATGTATGATTTCATAACTTAAAGTCTGCACTGAATAATTGGCATATTGAAAGTAGGTATTTCCAATTGTTATATTTGAGCCCTAATACGTGAAAATACGATCATTAAAATAAAACGTATTTTTTTCGCTCAAATTTCTACTCCAAAGTCTTTTGCTTGACGCAAGTAATTATATCTATTTGTTACAACATTATGCTTGATAAAAATAAAACTGAAATTGAATTGATTGAAATTTTTTTGCCATCCTTAAATTAAGTATGTTTTCATTGCATTACAGACTATAGCTTGTGGATCAGTTTTACAACTGCTGAATATGGTTCTTGTATCATTTGCCACAGGTAATTAGTTATAAATTGCTCCAATTATAAACCGTACCGGTAAAGTGAGAAATGCCAGCATTGTGGCCTGTCATTTTTTAGGAAACGTATTAAACATGAGAATTATTATACTCTTAACCTAATTATTCAATGCTTGTAGACAAAAGCTTGAAAGCATGATTTAATACGCGATGTAAAACATTTTGAGAATAACATCGCATTATTTTTTTCTTCGCTATCTTTTTATAAAAAACATTACTTAACTGGTAACACTTCTTTAGTAAATAAATAAATTTTTATGAAAAACAAATTTCACTTTAACGTGCGTATTCAGGTATTATGAATAATATCCATATTAGGAAAAATAACATTGTAGGAATACCGGGTAATGGCTCTTTAAGAGAATACCGGACAAAATACATTCTGTAACATTGTATATAATGCCGGATTTTCCACTTTGCCGATAATACACATAAATAAATAAATAAAATAAAAGATCTGATGATGACATGAAAAAAAAAAATGGTGTTTAAATGTTAAAAATTGCTTGTAACTGATTTTATAAATGAGGTAAGGTTCTCTCAGCAATTTTGAATTTATCTTATAATCTAGAACCAAGAATGATTTAGTAGCATATTTTGACATTTTTTTTATCACCTTTTAATTCGAGCTAAAATATTTTTACTCGATTAAAAACAGACGACTTTCTTCATATTAATTCATTCCTTTGAGGAGATGATATTTTAAACTAAGCAGTATCAATAACTACTGCCTTTACTCCTTTGATTATGTTCCAAAAATGTTTAAAAAATAATATTTCTAAATTTATAAAAGCAGAAGTCTTTTTTTATTAATTTATTCCTTTGAGCAAATGATATTTTAAACTGAGATATATAGTATCAAAAACTACTGCTGATTCTCGTTTGATTATGTTTAAAAAATATTCAAAAAGAATATTTCTTAATTTATTAAAGCAGGCACACATTGTTTCAAAGTTTTTAATTTTAAAAAGCAATTTCTTAATACGTTAAAATAACGTAATACGGTATTAATTAAGAAAGTCTCTTTTATGAATTTTTTTGTTTCCCTAACTAATAACTGTTGACCTGTAGTAAAAAACAGTTGAGGGGGAGGAACCCTCTCATATTAAGTTGAAGACAACTATGACAACAATAAACTTAAACATTTATTTAACAACTGAACATAACAAGCTAAAAACAGAAACATAAAAATTAAGTAAGACTGTGTGGGATAGAGACTGAGTAAAGTTCGAAGCTTCTTAAATACTGGGGCAGTTCCAAGGTTGCCGATCGTGTGTTTGTAATCCCGTTGATTCTCTTGGCGCCTACGCACCATGCCTGGCGCCACACAGTAATAATTTGTTACAAAATGTATCCATCTTCTAGCTGTTTTGTCGAAACAAATGATGAGATACAAAGTGGAAGGGACACTCATGGCTCAAACGTATTTAGCAACCGTCGTCACATTTGCTGGTCTTTACTTCATCATTTACAGAATTGATGTATGTAGAAAAAATATAACAATTTTTTCTTTTATTATTACTTTGTGAATGAATTTATATAATATTACTTCACTAGAATTAATTTTTACAGCCCAATAATTGGGAGTTCGGAACTGCTAATAAGATTGAAGACAACGTAGCGTTCGGGCAATATATTAAGATGCTGTATTTGTCTGTATCAGCGGCTACTCTGTGTGGTATGTTTTTTTTTCGTCCTCAGTTAATTATTATTATTATTATTGTTGTTGTTTCTTATTTCGCATGCAGACACGCTTACTTCATAATAGAAAATAAAATTGATGATGCTCGCTCCGCTTATCAGTCCCAGTGATTTCCTCTCATTTGTCTTTTTTTTCTTTCTTTCTTCAAACTCGTTATTTTTCATAAAGAACATTTTGTCAATAAAATTTTGTAATTATTAAAATATTGTAATTATCTTAAGTAAAAAATGTCAGAAATTTTTTTTCGAAAAAAGCACTTAAATTGTAGTAACCTTCAAACAAATTAGCATTTCAAAAATTTGTGTTTAGTTCTTAAATAAAAAAGGCCCTTTCAGCACACCATATTTCAGCTTTATAGATACATTTTTGCAGGCTGCAGAGTTGCCTGCTAGGTATTTTTTTTTATAAGTTTAACAGTTAATAGTTCTCAAAATAAATATCAAATCCTTAAATTAATTTTGCTTCATAATAAATTAGTTTATAATTTTTAAGCAGCAAAACATAATCTATTCGCGATCGCAACGCTCGAGTACGCCCTCTAGCGGGAGCCTGAAAATATCGGGCATTAGTTCCGTCATAACCTTTGGCAATGACGGACGACATTTTCTTAGCAGCAAATAAGAAGCAAAATTTCCCTAAGAAAAAGGTAGAAAAACTAGAAAAAACTAACCAGAACATGCCAAACATTGAAGCAGAACACGCCAAGCATTTGAAAAACAATTTCTCAAGAATTTTTACCTTTCTATTACCAACAACATTAATTCCGATTTCATGATCTTTTGCTGTTTCAGATGTGTGTATCACGGTAAAATAATTTTTTCTGTCCTCAATTCATTACAAATTAAAGTGAAGTCAACATTGCTTTTCTTTCGTCATTCCAATGAATTAATGTGAATTCAGAACGTACACAGAACTGTATAATAGTTATTGAATATTCTTCTTCTTAATAGAATAGTACATATTTCTGTATCTATATTATTAGGGGATTAAGGTTGTTTTTCGAAGATTCTGTTGTCTCAGGAAATGATACTTTTTACGAATAATATGACTGTTTTCATAAATGTATATTTTGTAACGTTACCCATGACTGTGAGGTTAAGTTAAACTATTTTTAGCCAACGCTCCTATGCTAATTCTGAAAATGGCACAAAACGTCAATATGGAGAAAAGCCATAGTTTTAAGAAAAAAAAAAGCTTTAGCAGTCTAATTTTGTTATGTTTAAAAACTTACTCAAATGCTGCGTTACCTGGGCTCATGAAAATTTGCATAGTGAATAAGGCATTGATTTCGATAATTTTCATCTTGGGGGGAAAATGTCGCCAAATTGCGATTGTTTAAAAAAGTTTAATATTTTTTAAACTATTTAAGTTATTTGTCCATTCTAAAGCCCAGATAATTCTTAACGGCACGATGACATGCATAGTTTAAAGTTGTTGCTTTGTTTCAAGTGTAAGGCACTTAAAATGTGGCTTTTTTATTTTTCTTTGTGAAAGTGCTTCGTAAAACGATATTTAGCTCCTGCCTCCCACTGAGATTCCGGATCTAGATTTATACCCTAAAGACAACTTCTTGATTTGTTATTGTTTAATGACGGTTGTCCTTCGTGGATTTCCTCTTCATACAGCGCGAATTCGGGCATTTCAAGAAGGCGAGTTTATTCCAATGAGTGATCCATAAGCTGTGTTGTCTTTTGGATTTGGCTCAAAGTTACGGAATTTCACATTCAAAGAGATTTAGCACTTTTACTTAGCCTTTTATATATATACGTACGTTTTTCTGTCCAGCAGAGTTATAGCAAAGCAATATCAGTTCTCTACAGAACTCACGCAGCATAAACATGCCGAATTTTCTCCTGGGTTTATTTTGTTTATCTTTTTCCCCTAGGTGCTGCAAATATACAACCAAATAAATGGCACGTCACATTATTAGTCAGCTTTCAAGTAAGTTCATTCCCTTATTTCTGAACATTAGCAATTTGGTTATGAATTATTAGAAGTATTCCATGCATGCCCCCCCCCATCGGTTTTAACAGATTTAAGTAGAAGATTTAAGAACTTTGTGAAAAAGGGGGGGGGGAAATCCTCTCGTCAGAATTTTAGCACTCTTGACGGGGAAAATCTAGGGTTCTTATAAGGGTAATTAAACTATCAGGAAGACCGAAAAAATAATGCTTTTTTTTCTATTTTCCCTTTTTTTTAAAATTAATTCAAAAAGTTATATTTTTAGCAAGCTTTTATTTTTAATCAATGACGTAATAATCTCATTGTCAGCAGTTTTTTAGCCATTTAGCGTGCAAATGTTCAATACCGAATAGATAAAAATCCTGTAGATACTTTCTTCGAAATGTCTGGAGATGTCATTTTGGACATCCTCCAAATTTTAAAATTTTCTGCCTCTCAGAAAATATTGTAGCAATCAGAATAAATGGAAATCTGATGGCGCAATTTTATGGTGAGTATGTGGGTGGAAAAGTACCACTCCTCCCCCAATTCCAATATATGTCCTTAAATAAGCATCGCAAATTCCCTTTTCGATCAAGTGTTCCATCACTATCCTTTTGAAACGTAGAAAACATGTAATGCTTGTATTTATGGTCAATTATAGTTCTTTTTTCTTTCTATAATCAGTAATGGCATAAGTATATTTGAAAATAATACCTTTTTTTTTTTCGGTAAATTCAATATTTTGTCAAGGTGATGCTGCTTTAAAATGTGTATTCATCAATAATAAATAATAATAATCAAAAACTTGAAAATATAAGATATTAATTTTCTGAAATTTTGATCTTCCGCGTGCTTCTTGTAAGCATTTCCTTGAGGCTTAAAAGAGAAAAGCAATTAAAATTACAAATGAAAATAAAAGTTTATTGCGCATTGAGCAATCTGGTGACATTTACAAAATCCATAAGACCTAACAATAAACGTCGAAATTACGTCACAAATTAAAAATTTCGTCAAAATTATTAATTAATTTAAAATTACGCCAATAAAATAACAAAAATAGGCTTAGATCTGTCCCTAAAGAGGAACACTGATGGGTTAAAATATTGCTTTACAACTTTAAGCAATATTCAAATAATAATAAAGTCTTCCCATTTACTTGTAAAACTTTTCCTCAATTTTTTTCAAAACTTCTTAGTAGATTAATATGCTTGGATTTAATACCCATCCGCTATGTTTACTAATTTAAAAATGTTTTTTGTTTGGTTGTGCAAGTCTTAAATTTATGAAAGTTGACATTTTTACAATTTGTCTTAATTTGTCTGTTATTCTAGATTTTATTTTTCTTTTCTATTTTCTCACATTATAGAATGTTGTCAATTTTGTATATTCTGCCTCCATTCTCGCTCAGACTGTCGGGAATTATCACAGTTACACTGTACAAGTACGAAGATCGAGTTCCATGAGCCGTCTAGCAGCAAAGTACTAATAAACATTTGTGTATTATTTGGCAAAATAAATTATATTTATGTATGAAATCGATTTTATTCGAATAATTGGGGTTCTTTAATCAAACGTACTCACACTTACACTTATATATATAATTAAAATTTCTTTTACAGTTGACTAAGTATATAATGAGATAATATTAACTGCAACATTGAATGAAAATGAAAGAAAAATGGCTTTGATTTAAATCGTCTGCTTTTTTCTTTGTTTTCTCATTTTATGATGCTCACCTATTGTATTGATTATTTCTTTATTCACATTTTTGTAAGTTGTAAAATTAAATTTAAAATTGAACGCGAATTATTAGATGCACTTCAAAATACGTATTTTTTATCAAACCTAAAAGAGTTTGAACGCAACGTATACAATGCAAAATGCTTCTTAAACCATTGAAAATTCGTCTACATTTCATCGTGAAAAAATCTTTGTGGCGTTAACATAATCAATATTAGTCTAAATGTACGCAAAATAGAATAAAGCATTGTATTCAAAGTTAAAAGAGTATAAAACGTTTACAAAAATAAGAAAGTCGTGTTATTTTTTTCCCTATACAATAATATTATTGTATGAAATAAATCTTATCAAGACTGTTTATGGCAATAAAACTTCTGAAAAATTTGAAATTTTTAACACGAACCTTGAAGAAAATGTAAACATATACATCTATTTCCTAAAACCGAAGGAAAAGGCGTCCAAATTCTTACTTTGAATAAATAACATTAAAATAAATTTATTTAAAATTGTTCGATATTTGGAGAATCATCTTACATTTAATATCTTTTTCCCCGACACTGTGAGTTTTAGGGCGAATATATTGTACGGCAGATATTTTCTTTTAACAAACGTGTTTGCGGAAACAAAACTTTTTACAAAATCAAGTATGGTCGTCTTCGGAACTATTTAAACAAGTCGCAGCTGTGAATATAATTCACATATTTAACTGCAAGAGATTAGTTGCAAAAAATAATAATAATAATTATGTTTGCAAGACTTCCATATGACTAGTCTGTTTAGAGTGGTATCAAAATTTTGGTGAGTCATGTCGCATGAAAGAATACGTGTGATTTCATTAAAACAAACTCGCTAAAAAGAAAATATGAGAACGGGATGAGTAAAGTCGCAAAAACACCCCTGACTCTTTAATATGATAAGGTAGGTCCCCCGATGGGGTATATAATTATTTCCTGTGGTAGGGTACACTATTACCCTGTAATATAATACGTGGTTCATAAGTTTTACCTCAAGAAGTTGGCCTGGAGAGAACAAGCATATAAAAAAATAGTGAGTGGAGTCCCTCCTCGCGGAAGAAGTTAAACTTCGTAACCTGCGACGTTAATTGTAGAAGAATCAGCAGTCGTAGAAGGATCACTAGTTCTATTCAACGACTCTTTTTCCTGTTCCACTCGCTTCCGTGCTCTGTAATAACGGTAATATTGTGCATTTTTCCCTCGTGGACCTCTTGAACCAGTGGGAGTGCTTGTGGTTGCCTCATCGTCTCGCCATGGAAAATGTATTTGTATTAATAATGTATGTGAATGCGTCATAATGTAATTTTCAAAAGAGAAAACCTAACAATCAATTGATATTCACAAGAGACGTACCTTGACATAACCTTAAATCCGTCGCATTGTCCGTGGGATTGTTTTCACAAATTTTTTACAATTGTTATCCACTAAATTTGAAAATAAAAAATTCTATCCTATTAAATTACATGTGTATCAAATCAAACTGAAAAACTATTTATAGAAAAACAATACTTTTATGACTTTTATTATTTTTATGCTAGTGAGAACCAAAACAATATGGAAATGAATGAGGGAAAACTGGATCCTACCACGTGATTTCCCGGCCAATAAAAATGTAGCGTTAAACGTTTAACGCAACCTTGTTGGAAGTCGCATAAGAAGTATAACTTCAAAAAAAAAAAAAATAAATAAATAAATAAATAAATAAAAAAACCTTTATTGCAGTCGTTGTCATGGAAACCGAATTACTCCTGAAGTTGGTTGGGGCATGAGGTAACAAAAAAAAGGAGAGAAGTGGTCAGTATTGGCGTTAAAACAAACTACCGATTTTTTCTTTTCTTTTACCAAGAATCTAAAGAAAGTTTTGAACAAAATATAGAAAAAAACAAGATATTTTTTAGATCATTTCTTTTTCTGATATATATATGCTTCTATGAAACAAGAGAACTTACCTAAAAAAAGACAATTCTCACAAATATTATGACATTATAACCGTCGTTGAACAGCCGACCCAATTTCGGGTTCACGACTACTAATGTATTCAACTCCGTAGCCTTGTAATTTTGAACAAATCCAGAAGACAAGGAAACTCCTGGATCAGTTCCCCAGAGGTAGGATTTGTTATAGGAACATGCAGGACTTTGTGATTCGAAAGATTTAACATGCATCAGTCACCATTTACTACATGAGGACTCTTCGGCCAGCGGGGATCGAACCCACGACCTCTTGGACATGGGTCCAGTGCCCTACCAAAAAGGCTTACCCGGTCCAATCCTCACAAATAGTATGAATGTGAATTTTTAGTATTATCCATGTGTGTACTGCTTGTGTGTTCATCAGCTGCCATATCCCATCCTCTTAAGGCCTGGTTTCTTAAGGTCTGGTTTCTTAGGACAAGCGCCTTATCTGGGCGTCAGCGGAAAGTTGACGTAGAGCTGACGCCAAAAAAACACTTTTTTGTTAGCTCAGCGTGAGCAGTCGGTCCAACGCAGACATTATGTCTCATTGCGCATGCCTTAATAACGTAAACAAATATTTATTTTGAATTTGTATTGATTTTGTTATTGTCGACCAGTGTTTTAGAGAACAAATAATGACTTTGTCCAAGAATAATGATGACAACAAATAATGATCTGTCCATGGTACTTTATTTACGTCGCAAGAAAGATCTGCACAATGAGTTATTGGCAACGATCTGGGAAACATGCCGGAGGATGATCCGAAGACGTGCCATCACAATTTTGTGATGACGATTTCAATTTAGACACATATCTGAAGGGGAAGAAAATTTATTCCAGATCCCCGTTCCCATGATACCGCTCAGCGTAGAATGATGAGACAAGTCATGAAATAGTTTCCCTATGACTTTCAAAGGATCAAAGTTACAACAAAATGGCAACAAAGTTTCTCAGTGACTTTAGTCCCAGTAAAGTATAGCTGTGACCACCAAAGTGACGAAAGTTATAGTCAGGGAGACTTTTATGTGATGTCACAAGACAAAGTGACCCCAAAGTCACATTATGAACTCATTGGGACAATTAAAAATGGTGGCACTTGTGACTGCTGAGTTCGTTTTTGACTTTATAATGACGTCACCGTGACAATCTGGAAGCATAGACAAAATACATGACAATATCTACATAGAAATTTTAAATGCGTTAGTAGATACAACCAAATATCATTCATAATAAATTATTTATTACTTCTGAACTGTTGGTTTGATTTCGGAAACATTCGGCTTAGCGTAAATTCGGTTAGGAAAAAATACCCCACTTATCTAAATAGAAATATTTAGCTGTTTTCCGACTGATCCTCCCATTCTCTGACATGAAGATTCTGAAGATGACAGGATAAGGACCCCTCTGAATGAGGGTGAAAATTTCCGTTTTCTAAGTTAGGCCCAATTTATAACTTTAAAACAAACTTACATTCCTTTCCTAATCATTTACGTATTTTGTATTGAGCTTTTTCTTATCGTTACACATAGAAACGGGAGTTTTCGAAGTTGTATAAATGCAGCAGGTTCAAGTTAGTAACTTCACAGATGATGTAATATGTTATAAAACTTCTCTGATTTTGACTATCAGTGAATTATATATATAATGCTAACATTAATGCATTGCATTTTTTCAGAAAAAAAAACTAATGCTTAAAATGTCTTATTTTTTAAGTAAAAAGTTAAAAAAATAAATACACATTATTCGCGTAAATAATAAATGAAACATCAAAAATAACATTTTCTTTGTATTTTTGATGTAATCTTTATCACTTGTTCGGCTCGTAATCACATCAGTCGATGTTAAATTCGCACAAACATATTTTAATATTTTTTTCAACCTTGTTTACCTTCTTTCGATAAGTTAAATTTAATTAAAATTTTAATGGGAATAATACACTTTCCGAATTCTCTCCTGAAACGGACAGTTGTTGTTGTTGTTAATTTACGTCGCACTGGAGCTGCACAATGGGCTATTGGCGACGGTCTGGGAAACATCCCGGAGGATGATCCGAAGACATGCCATCACAATTTTGATCCTCTGCGGAAGGGATGGCACCCCCGCTTCGGTAGCCCGACGACCTGCGCGCGAACTCGAGCACTTTACGGTAGCACAGTTTAACGAGGACCAATACCGCACACCCTCGGTCCCTACGCAGACTGATCCAAGTGGTCACCCACCCGCACACTGACCGCAGCCAGTGATGCTTGACTTCGGTGATCTGTGAAACGGACAGAGAACATGAACTCTAATGAAAGTACAAGGATTCTATCTTACTTAACTTTACCTTAGACATCAAAAAAATAAATAAATAAATAAAAACATTCATCTATTTTATTGTTAAGAAAATTAATCTTAATTAGAAAGAAATGTTAGAAATGTTTTAATTAGAAGGAAAAGAATGTTAAGAAAATTAATTTTTTTATTATTTCTTTTATAAGTTTAACCTTCAACTTCTATATACTAGTGATTACTCTTTTATGTATTGTTAATTTGTATTATAAAGTCTATGTATTATAAAGTTTAAAACAGATTTCGTAGGGAAATTAGTAGTTTTGTAAAATTACTTTTAATATAAAATAATATAATAATAAAATATTTGTACTAATTTAAGTTTTTAATGTACAGTTTACTTGATTATTAAGAAATATTTTTACTGAATTCTTTGTTATATCTAATTAATTTTTTCCCCTAAGTTATAGTTTATAATTTGCTTTTACTTCTTAAGCTCACTTATGATATGAATAGCTAAAATGTTAACAATTATACTTACCTAATTCACCCTATTTACTTTAAAACCAACCGAAAATCATTCTAAACATATTGCAGTCATATCCCAAAACATCCTAGCTGTGCCGTAGAGATTCAATCGCTCCAGGAATAAACATTTTCAAAAATTGCCCTAAATCTCTTTTTTTTTATCAGGCATTTCCTATAAAACTGTTAGGATTTGTCCAAAATTATAATAAATATATATTTGGTTATGGAAGTTAATTGATTATTATGATTTCAGGTTGTCTAAAATTATTGTTCTTCACACTTCCAAACTTTAAAAACTCTTCTTCAAAACTGCTGTCACTATTCCATATTACATATTATGTTTTATATTATACTACTGTAATTAACTGACAACATCATAATTTTTCTATATGTCAGTTTTTGTAAAATACTTTGTTCCGATAAGAGCTAGCTTTTTTATTTTAGGCAGTCTTTTTAAATGGTTTAAACCAAAAAAACCAATCATTAAAATCCTTTTGGTCTGGTTTAAATCCGGCAAACCTTTTAGCTAGTATAAATTTACTTTTATTTATTTATTTACTTTTTGTCTCTTTAAAAAAGGATAAAAAAAACCTCAATGATTAAATAATTTTTTACGTGGAAAAAAAAAGAAATTTTTTTTTATCACAATAATAGAAATAGATAAATCGGTAGAAATATATAAATAAAAAAAAAACCAATCTATCTTATTTGTTTAGTAAAATGTGATCAACAAAAGTATTAGATATCACTAAATCAAGATACAGTAGACATCATATCTTCGATATCGCTTAAATATTACAAATGAAACAATGAGAGCTTGAACCAATTGTCAATATCACTCTTTTACAAAGCTCAGAAAAATGAAATGTGTTTAAAAGTACCTTAAGTTTTAGAATCACCTCTAAAAGAAATTAGTTTAGTTATTTTACCTTTTTTTAATGTTAACTCAAAATGGAAGAAACTAAAGAAAGTGATAAGACAGGGGCAAAACAAAGACGGACTTCTCCAATTGCCATTCCATCAAAATTACCTGTAAGTGTCAGTTTTATCTATTTGTGTAGCTAAACCTCAATTTTACCTGTTAACTAAATGCCATTTTATTTAGATAATTATTTTTGTAATTATCTTTTGACCAATTTGATTTTTAAATTAATAGACACTGTAAACTCAATGAATAAAAACTGGCATAAAATTAAAAAAAAAAAATTTTTTTTACTGAAATTCAGCACCATAAGGGTTTAGTTTTGTATGATATGTATTAAAAAATAATAAAATCAATTATCACGTCTTTGCATTTTTTTACCTTTTACTTTGAGTAAAATGCATTCAAAATTCAAACTTTTATTAAATTTATCACTTTTTTAAAAAATTTTTAAGAAAACTAGATATTTTTTATGTTTTTGAACTTTTGTCTTACAATTTTTTTTTCTTTAAGGGGCCTTCCTTCCCCGGACGAACACAACTGTCGAAGGGGTGGAAAGATTCTAAATATGCTTTCAATCTTCTTTTTATTTTTTATTTTTCACAAATAAACTGATGTTAAGATATTTACAACTTTTGGTAATATCTTTCGATAGATGCCGCCGTCCAATCACAATTTGAGATATAAAGCGTGCGGCGTTTATTGATTTTTTTTGACAAAATTTAGCCAATATATTTCTTTAACCAGGCTGCTGAAAATGAATACTGGATTATAACGAAAGATTGTAAATGATTAGATAATTGGATGAATGATTAGATGATTTTTTTGACAAAATTAAGCCAATATACTTCTTCAACTAGACTGTTAAAAATGAGTACTGGATTATAGCGAAACTTTTTTCGTTTTTGGCGAAACCGTTTCCTGGTATATCCTCCGAGCAAAAATTTCGCCAAAATGACGAAATATCTAGCGTCAATTCTTCAAGGAAACGAATTTCATCAAAATTAAGGAAATATTTCATCATTCTATTTTTTTCTTTTAAGAAAAAAAAACTTGCATTGCCTAATGTCCCTAACTTTCTAAATAATCACTTAACGTGCGCAACATACAGATGGCACGGCACAAGGACAGATACATAAATTACACTCTTGCCGAAGAGTGATTCGAACTCCGGATTTTCTTGGTGTAAGGCCAATTTCTTGACCACCATACAAACCAGACAGCGTAGTACTCTCCCACAATGCACAACGAACAGGTTTCAAACTGAGGAAACATTTTCGCCAAACGTTTAAAAGTTCGCGTTTCGCCACAAATCACATATTTCGTGACGAAATGATTTTCGAAATTAACGAAGTACTGCTTAAGGATTGGTGAATCGTCAAAAGTGAGAGTTTCATTTCTGAGAGTGTAGCAGTTTTTGACAGGTAATTAAATAGTATACTATTGTCTATTTTTAAATTTCTGATATGTATCTTCGTTTTTAAAATAACGTTAAAAATTTTTTTAGCATCACCCAAATCAGTTTTTATCAGTTTAGACAGCAATAAAATTAGATTTTGAAAATTCTTAAAGCTAATAAAACACGTAGTTTTAAATTATTTATTCAAAACCACAAATCGCATCACTTTATTGTTTTAAAGTTTTGAGGAAAACTCCATAGAAGTACAAGAAAATATGAAGCTCTATTTCTCCTAATCTAAAAAAGCGACCCCCTAAAGGTATATTTTAAAGGTATTGTGCTGTTTAATAAGATGAAAAATCTTTAAAAATTTAACTACCGATGACGGTGAGCGTAGAGGTGGCCTCCTAACGCACTAATTACAATGAAAATAAATCGAATGAAAGTATGTATGTATATAAAATATTTTTTAAATTATTAAATCGAAATATTTTTTTAAATCATAGAGTGAAATGAATAAAAATAATATGCATAAAAATGGATTTTCCTTCATCCATTATTTTTATTTGGTATTTCAAGTAGAGATTGGTGTCCACTTAAAAAATGAAAATAACAAATTTTAAAATTCTTTTCGTGGCTTTCTCGAACCGTTACAAAATAATCAGATCTCCTGAATTTTTTGCACAATCATTTACTGTAAAGCTACAAAAAAAAAAAAGAAAAAGAAGAAGAGTATTATATATATAGATACGAAATCGAAAATAATAGCAATTTTGTCTCTTACAATTTCCCTATAGTGTTTAACAATTTACTTAAGGTATTAAAAAATGTTTGTTTCAATGCAAAATTTTGTGACTTATTAATTTAGGAACCATTAAGTATAAAAAAAAATTAAAGTGTTAAGAAACTAAAAACTATTAAAAAACTAAAGTGAAGCAACAGCTTATTGGTGGTCAGACATCATGGAGGTTAGGGTTCTACAATTTCGCGACCAACGGCATGACAGAGGCAATGAGTTCAATATTGCGCACAGGCCGCCTTTACCTCCCGAGTAAGACTGTACCCATCGATTTAAAACTGGGGGGGGGGGTGATTCAAAACTTTAAGTATTAGCCTCAATGAAATATGTAAACAAAACAAGAATTCTCGTGAATGGATTAAAATGTAACGCTTAGGTGTAATTTTTATAATATTTTTAATAACGGTACAGATCCATGAGCCGACAGATGTCCGTTCATGGTCTTGTACCGTAACCATGGCGCAGGTTAAAGAACTCTCTACATAAATCCCTCCATAACAAATTGATGGATTCAGAAATATCGAAATTTTGAATGGAGACATTGCACATTTTAATAAAAATTCTGTTTTCCAGAGTCTTTCTGCATTGATGTACTTTTTTGATGTTTGTTTCTTAAATCGTTTAATGAAAAAGCAATTTAAGAAAAGAACAAAAAAATGCGATGGAGAAAAGTGACCGGTTGCTCATTTAATTTAAGTCGCCAATTTTTTTTTTCTTCTGGCCATATGGCGGGTGTTAATTTTCAGGTCAATAATACAAGTAAAAAATAATTTGCTATGGAATTCTAATAGCGTGCTTTTAAGTTTTTCAGAAAATTTTTTAGTTATGCAGAAATTTAGATTAGGGTTCAACACATCTCCTATTTTTTCCTCCTTAGAAATCTCCTAGTCTAAGCGATCGAACAAATCGTCACTCAAGAAATAAGTCTGTACAGTGGGCTGATTGGGAGTTGAATAATGTTGTGGACTTCTCAGGAAGCAAACAAACTAAAAGCCTCATTGATGAATACTCTCAAACAGAGATTGAGGTAAGATAATTTAAATTTTATGTTCTTGTTTTGCATCAGTTGATCGAAGTAGTGGATTGATGTGTTAGAGCTTTTCGCACAGCAACTGAATGCAATAATGATGTGAAGCCGCGATTTCTCTAGATTTCCGAATTGACATCTGAAGTTCCTGAGATATCGAATTTTTAAAATACGACTTTTTCAAATTCTCAGGAACTGTTTGACCTCTTGAATTTTGTATTTTGCTATTTAAAATTTGGGTTCTTTAAAATGACGTAAAATTTTGTGTACTTTTCAGTACAAAATGTTTTCGACTATTATTAAATAAAATAATAAAAAATTATTTATTAAAAGTTTGATTTCGCATGGAAATGTTTTAGGATAAACAAATTTATTTAGTTGTGTACAAAAATTTTACCATTCGTTTAAAAAGTTCTTGAGATTTAATAACGTATAATAGATTTAAGTAAAATTAACGTTAAGAGGTCCAAACTTTAGATCACTCTCCTAACCAAACTATAGGGAACATATTTTCCAGATTGAGCTACCCGCTATATTTTGGGGGTCAAAAATCCAAATTCATCGAAAAAGAGATATGTTAATTCAGATAAATCACGTTTTTGTGTTTGATTTCGTAACTAAAATATCGTCTGCATTAATTAATTAGCATATTTGAGATTACCCCCTCCAACCATTGAAATTGAATCCTAGAATGTGAAGATCCGATCATTAGATCAAAAGTTATTTAAGGTGGTTATTTATTTTTTTAAATTGTGTGCAGTATACACATTAATTAAATGGAAAGTAAATTAGTGTGATTTTTGAATGCATGTTGAAGATGGTTAAAATACGTTTCATTTTGCAGTCTCCTACTTCCAGCGATCGAGTTTTACCATTAATCGACAGCTTGGTTCAAACATCATTAGAAATTGGGTAAATACTTTGACTTATTTAAATTATTTAACAATTGCTGTATATTATTTTAAGGATATCTCAAATTAACGCTAGACTGTAACTTTTCCGTTTAAACCGGGAATATTGATGCTAACTTTGTCTCTCATTTAATAATATTACTAAAAGGTTTTAAAAGGAGTAATATTAATATTTTCAGGAGTAATATTAATATTTCTTAAAGCTGTTTCATTTGTAACTAAGAAAAAATTCTGCATTTTAATGGCATTCTAAATAGGGAGGAGGGGCTAATGGGGGAAATTTTTATAAATTCTCCAAAAAATAACTATCATTATTTTAATAAAATGTTTAATATTTATAATATGTACTTTATTCAAATGTGTAGGTTTATCTTCGTATTTAATGATACTCTAGTTAATTTGAATGCATGCACTTATAATATACCTATACACATGTATTTTTTTTTAAATGTGCCGTCGTATACATAAGTTTAATGACATTGAGTTAGAATGGACCAGCCATAAAATTGATAACTCAATCAATTTTTACTTATAAAAAAAATCAAGTAAAATAAAATTGAATTATTTTAATCTATAAATTCAGTCTTGAATTTAACTCTAGTAATGTTTATTTCAATCTATGTTAAGTCTTTATTGCATAGTTATGTGTATAATTAAGATGTAAACTATCAAACTAAAAAAAAAAGTTTTTTAAAGACCATTAATTATATAAAAAATAATATATGAATGCTTATTTAGCAGAAATAAATAATATTTTATAAATTAAGTTGCCATTCGTTTTTTTTTCATAAAGTTCTTATAAAGTTCATAATTTTACAAATATGATGAGTTGTTGGCTTAAATCGAAATTTAGAAACACGCATTTTCAATTAAAAGCTAAAAAAAATTCCATATTTACATTTATCATCATTACACATCATTTACATTTTGAATAAAAAATAATTAAAAAAAAAAGAATTAGAATTTTCTTTAATTTTCCTTTAAAGCTTTTAGGTTAAGTGGAAATTTAAGTTTAATTTGCAATTCACTACAGTCGTAAAAAAAAAAAAGGTTTATAAAGGCGTTAAATACTTCAATCCTGTTTTTTCAGTTCTATCACATCTCGTTCGCGAAGTCCTTCGTTGATAACTTGTGCTACAGTGGAAGAAGACGAAGAAAGGCAAACTGCTCTTGCAGATTTAATAATTCATCTCGAGGACACTTCTGCATTATTGCGTGAATATCTTGCTCCAACACAAGTGAAATCGGATGAAGATGACTATACAAAGAATGAACAGACCTTTTTTTTACTCAAATATCAAATCTTGTTAGTTTCTTTTACTCAGGTATAACCAAATTATCTATATACAATTTAATTATATTATATGCAATACAAAAACCTCCTATGGTTAGCCTGACGGCAAGGAGACTCTAACCCATGATCCGTCTACCACTGAGAATATTTTTTGTCAGCATTGTGATCGGTGCGAGCCGGGTACAGAATTCGAATCGACAAGCCATCGCTGGGATTCGAACCCGGTCCATCTCATTGAAAGGCGAACGCTCTATCCCCCGCTCCACCACGGCTCAATGCTGGGAATTGAAACTAACAATTTCAGAAATTTTTTTTTAAGGCATTGAATTCTCGATCTTCGCATCGAAAATGTTGCTCATTTAACGATACCCGGTAAACACTTGTGATCAGCAGCCACACTGTCACAGATACCCGTTCATAGGGTGGGCCACATTAGAGAAACATCCACCCCCTGAACGAGATTCGAACCCTTAATCAATGGCTTTGCAGTCTGGTACTCTGACCCCTTAGCCACCAGGCAAGCAGAACAAATAAAATAGATATATACATGTAATAAAAATGGTGGAAGCCAGTGTGTACTTTTAAGATTAAAGCAGGCACTTAGAAATACGAAATTTAATATAACTAAATTTAATATAACTAGATCAAAGCTTAACCCCGTCCCGCCTCGGTCAGGGGGCATCCGGAGAATACTGTAGTGTAGATTCTAAGTGCGCGCACGTTGACCTCTCAGCAAAAGAAAAAGAGGATTCAAAAAGGTAGGCTTGGTGACGATCCATGGCAACACGTCGGAAAAATGGGCAAGGGAGGCAGAAGCAACTTCAGGGAAAACAATGGTTGATGTAGTTTGTGCGCAGCGCGAATAAGACTAGATAAATGTTGTTGATAAAATCTGATTTTTCGAATTTTTTTATTGTCTTTTTTTGTTCAAAAATATTAAAACCGATTCAAAACCCATCGCGCTCGAACGAGGCTCCTTATACTTTTTGAACATCGAACAGTTCACACTTTTTCTTTCAAAATCAAACGTTGCATGTTTTATTAGGGTAATATTTTCGTTTTATGGAGAAATTAGCCAAAACTACTTTTTCCCACGGACATTTTTGAATTGCAGTTTATAAGCTTGAAATTCAAATAAAAATACGGAGTGATCCTTCTCTTATTTTTAAGAGCGGCTTAAAAATATAACTGTGTGATTTATTATTTAATCAATTGTAAGATTAATGTGAAGCTTCAAGCATGGAGTTTCTATAGGCAGACTAGAAATTAAATAAAACGCTTTACGTTTTCATTTATAAAATATCGCTACCTACTCAAAATAATTATTTAAATGTTACAGGCATGCTAAGAAAATGAGGGGTAATATAAAAACATTTTTTTATTTAAAAAAACAAAACCTTGATAATTGAAATTGGTTAAAAATGTATATACTTATGATTAGTAAACTTAAATATGGTTGAAAAAACTGGTTAACTTTATTTTAAAAATTCTTTTTTCAGCTGGTGAGCATTCTAATTTTCACTCTGATCGATAGTGTAAAAAATGAACTAGATACAGGTTATTTTGCTCTGGTAAGTATTATAAATTTACGAGAGTGAAATGTGAATTGTATATATTAAAATAAAAATTGTATATATGAAATATATAATATATATGAATGAATATATATAACAATATGAATATATATGAGAATTGAATATATGAAATAGAATTGTAAACATAAAAATTTAAAGGGGAAATATACGTCATTTTGATTGAAAATTGATAATTCTCTGCTATTTTGGTATGAGCTGAAATTTCATGCCCCACAATTTCAATTTACAGAGACATAATTATGAACATAAAATAATTTCTGATGTCTATTTTGATAATCAAATTCTATGAACTCTTATTTATTCCAGACAATATCTTGTGGATCAATCTTGCAACTTCTCAACATCGTTTTAGTGGCCTTTGCTTCAAGTAAATAGATTTACTAATAGCCATTCACTTAAATTACACTAATTATAAAATTAAACCTTAAATTTTGCTTTATGTATTGTATACTTAAATGAATGTTATTGGATGGGTAGGGAAACTGAGTGGTATTATGTAAATTCCCAGAAATTCAGTTAAAAAAACAATTTTTCCCCATCTGGTACAACAGGGTTTCGTCATATTTATTGAAGGATTATTAATAAAGCATTTTTAAAGACATAATACATGTTTTGTAAGGGCAAAAATATGTACCTAAATAACCCACACGCCAGAAAAGGAGTTATATATTTTTCTTTTTTAAAAAATATAGTTATGAATGGAAAAAGTAAGATTTATAGAGAATATCTCAGTCACATTGCAAAAAAAAAAAAAAAAAAAAAAAAAAAAAAAAAAAAAAAAAAATTATNAAAAAAAAAATAATAATAATAACGAGAATATATAATTATTTTGCAAAAATTTTTACAATGCTGTTTAAATTAAGCTATATAAAAATATTAATGTTTATTCATTTATTAATATATGAAAACTAAAGGCATTAAAAGTTTTTCATTCTTTGAATATTTAAAAATAATTCAGGAAAATTATATTTTATAACCGTCGTTGAACAGCCAACCACATTTTATGGATTTACGACAACAAATGCTCAACTCCGTAGCCTTGCAATTTTGAACCCAATCCAGAAGACCAGGGAACTCCTGGATCGAGTATTGGGAGAAATTTGCCTTAGTTGGAGAACTTTTTGATGGAGCTAACCCACATTTGCGTTACATGGAGGGGAAGACCACGAGAACCTCCCACGGTTAGCCAGACGGCAAGGGGACTCTAACCCATGATCCACTGAGGATATTTTAAGTCAGCACTGTGGTCGGTGCAAGCCGGATGCGGAATTCCTATCGACTGGGATTCGAACCCGGTTCGCTGCATTGGAAGGCGAACGCTTTATCCCCTGAGCCATCGTGGCTCAGGAAAATTATATTGTTCAGATTAAAACAATTAATATTAGGGTTATTTTAAATAGACAACCTAATACTTTCTTTAATTTTAAAGTATTAGATATATATAACTAGTATAATTTCCTTCCATATAGTGGATGGTATAGTAGCAGAGGATTGCACTTTATGTATATACATCACTTTAAATTGCTTGCAATCAGAAATTAAAAAATGTATGACACTTGTTAACACTTGAATAAAATATGATATAGCAAAACCCTTTTTTGACAAAAATTTTTGCTACAATAGTTAGCAAGTTCTGTACAATTTGAGAGCCATCTTGTATTTTTCTACAAAAATGTAAAATTTGTCTATATTTTAAAAATCACAGTCAATTTAAAATAGTGAATAAAACAGTGACATTTATTTCATTGCAGCTGTCTTGTCAAGGCAGATGGTAAAATACAAGGTTGAAGGGTTGTTGATGGCACAAACATTTGTAGCTACGGTCATAACTTTTGCTGGGGTTTATTTCCTAATTTACAGGTTTGATGTAAGAAATAATCTGCTTCTTGTATTTGTTCAACACGAAAATTCAAGTTTTGCAAGTTAACTTAAATATTTTGAATAAAGGTAGTAAACTTTTCAGCCAAATAATTGGGAATTTGGAAGTGCAGATAGAATAGAGGAACGAAAAGCTTTTGGGCAGTTTGTTAAAATGCTGTATTTATCTGTTTCATCTTCTACTTTGTGTGGTAAGAATTTAAAGTTTTATGAAATATTAAAATGTGTAAGTTTTCAAACAATATGATATTTAGGTTGTGTATAAAATTTATTTAATTAAAAGAAAAAAACTTTTGGAAAATACGCAACATACTATTAGTCATTTATAGTGAGATTTGATATTCTTCTAAAATATTAGTATGGAATGGCTAAAGTAAAACGTAACATGATTTTTTTGATTTTTGAGAATGGGATAAATTGCTGGTAAAAAAATTTGAGATTGATTCATTTTCCTTCAAACAATACTTTAACATAACTGGTATTTTCAGATAGTTTATCATTATTTAATCCAATGGCAGAATTTATACTCAACACAAAGATATTTATACGTTATTTCCTACAATTCAAATAAACAAAACCATTGAAAAAAACATTTCAAAAACTACTAGAGTACAAAATGGGCATAGTTAAATTATTTATTCAGGAGTACTAATTATTATAATTTGAACTTATTATAAAAAAATTATACTAATAAAATTATTAGACTAATTATCTAAACTCACAAGCCTAATTTTTAAAAAATCAATTCAACATCAATTGATTTTTTTAAAAATATATTATATAAAATATATTTTAATTTAATATGACTATTATACTCAACTTGTTAGGAACGTAAAACACTGGAAATCATTAACAGAAACATTCAAGATGGCGTAAATAAACAGGTTTTAAGTATACCAGCAAGCATTGTGATACTGGCGATAATGAAATAATGTTGAACTAGTGTGGCATACACATCAAACGGATCAATCTTCTTATATCAAGGAGTCACAGTATTTGCATCATGTACTTTATTTTTGCTATATTTTGTAATTAGTCAAAAAAGAATCATAGGATATAATTCAACTATAATTCTTGCAGCAGTATCAGGTATTTTAATTTGGCAAAAAGTTGAAACTCTTTTCTAACAAATTTGTCCAGGCCCTTATATATTTTAAATTAAAAAAATTTCATTACACTCATACAAAATATAATGCTATGGAGTTTTGCAACAAATAAAAACAAAGGTAGCTCGTATTAAAAAAGAGAAAAGAAATAAAAATTATTACCATATTAATCATGTTTTTATTATTACAACTTTAAAAATGCAGTAGAATGATAAAATTCAGAAGCAACAAGCAATTTTTTAACTGTTTTTCCTATTAGACGGAAGCATTTTCAATTAACTAATAAATTTGGAAGCTATATTCTTTATCACAAAATCTACAACTACCTTCTAGTAACAACTACATTTTTTAGTCAAAATCAAATATTTTAAATTCAAACAAATAACACATTTAATGGTGGTAATCTTATCCTGATAAGTCATGTGAATATTTTTTAAAATTAAAAGTGGTGATAATACTTCATGAATAAAGTGATAATGAGAGGATTGATATTCCTGTGACTATCATGACTAACAAACATTAAGGGATATATATATATCGGAAAAGTGTTTTCAATTTTAAGAGAAAATTAATAGCTAATATAGAGAAATTAAAAAAAAATTTTTCTACAATCTACATACTAAATGAAAACATTTATTATTGGTGCTAGTATTTATCATCGGTTTAATTTGAGCAATATTCTAATTTATCAAAACGGAACTATGATCCCATCACTTTATAACAGAAGCTTTTTATTTATTTTCTTTGCTATTTTTATTTATGCTGTTATGAATTTTAGCCATTTTTTTCACATTGATTTCTGCAAGATTGACATTTTTTTTTCTATCACAGGAGCTGCAAATGTTCAACCTAATAAATGGCATGTTACATTGATAGTTTGTTTTCAAGTAAGTATTTGTTACTCACATTAATATATTTAAAAAATCGAAATTAATTATAAACAAATATTAATTTTTTGATGAGCTAATCACAAATGAAGTTCAAAAACTTTATTTACTTATTTTTCTCTAAATTAGATATTACAATAAAGGTATGCAAGAATAATTTAGTTTTTTAAAAAGTGAAATTAAGTTACCAACATGTTGAGCATTTGATATAAAATGTTCACTTTGTCAGATGCAAAAGAATTGGTGACATTAAGGTCAAGTTTTGGTTCCTTAAATTAATATCAATATAGAACATAAATTCACCGAAACCAATTACAGATAATTATGTCTTTATTATAACATCAATCTAAAACACAAGACAGTTTTTTTTCTTTCTTCATAATAGACCAAAGATAATAATTTTAAGGGATCTATGGATTTAATTGAGTACTTCTAGTTTCTAGATAGATCACTTATCAATTATTTCATAAAAATTAATCTAAAAAAATGCCAATTCAAATAATTTCATTGAAACTAAATTTTTATGATGGGTAATTTCATCAAGATAATTGTCTAATCATGTCAATCAATCAAGAGTTTTAAATCAATTAAAAATGTTTATTAATATACAGAAGAAATTCAGGTATATATGCAAGGATGTAAAGGTATAATAAAAGCACACAACGTTAAATATAGATTTGTCTGCAAAGTAAATTGAACAACATACTTTACAAGAAAATACATAGTTTACAGCTATATATCAAAAATATTTTGCTGAAATGAATGGCAAATTGGTATTAATATTCATAAACTTTAAGACAGTTGGGTAATGAGCTGTATTTTTTTAATGAAAAACTAATGTAGTGCTATGTAACAAGCAGTGTTAGATGATTTAAAATAGTACTACATCATCCGAGAAAGATCATTATTTTACACTATAAAAGTTCTCCCTAGGAATAAAAAAGGGCAGGGGCTTCCACTCAAAAATGACACTTTGAGTTTTGAAATTCACTTAATTGAGTAAAAATGTATCAAAATGTGTAACAATTTGTAATAACTGAATTTGATGCTCACATTTTTTTTTTTTTACATAACTTTCTTATACTATTTTACATGTGTATTTCAAAAAATAATTACCTCTCATTATAAAAGAGAAAAATTTGTAGTTTATAAAAATTAAAGACATGCTAAAAAACAATCTCTTCTCAGTGTATAATTTTTTCTGCTTCAAAAAAAGTAAACTAAAAAAAAACTGATAAACAACTTAAGACTTCAAAAGCTTTATCTATAATTTAAACTGAAAATTATATAAAAATAAACATTCAAAACGTGCATTTCTTTTTAATAAAAGGTATTTATTTAAAAAATAATTTTAAAATTTAAAGATATTAAAAAATTTAGTAATATCCCCCCTTCCTCCCAAAAAAAAGAGATACTGATAAAAATTTGACCAGTTAAGAATAATCTTAACAGAGTAAATATTTGGAATAGTAATCAGAATTCAATCCATAAACAGAGATAATTTTGCCAGTGTGTAATTATTATTTAAACAGTGAATTATTTTCTTCTCCAAAATGGAATATGAATAAAAAGGCAGTGTTTTTAAGGGAGGGCATCTTATTTTTTTTTTTAAAAAAAAAGAGGAAAGAGAGTGCATTTATAGAGATCAAAGGGCAGGCAGGGCGAGTTGCCCTTCTAAAAAAGCTTAGTTAGAACACTGGAAATATATTTATTTTTACAGGTTAACTAGTTTACTTTATTTTCACATTAATCAAAGTTTTTATCAAACGATTTTGATCAACTTTCTTGACAATATCATTATGATAATATCAAAAATATTGCATTCAAAATTTGTAGTGGTTAATAGTGATTGCAACATTATCATGTTTGATAATTATCGTTTTTATAACACTCAGAACATCATATTTAATAATTCTACTCAAAAATGATTCTTGTCCATCATTATGATGTATTCCAGATTTATTGCTAAGCATAGAATTCACAATAACTTGTCCAGTTTTAGTGAAAGGGCATGAACAGTATGTGTAAGCTGAAAATTATTGAGATGCGCTTTTATTGTGTGTTGTTAATTTATGTTAAAAAATGTGGGATATTTTTAGTTTAGTTAATTAAAATAAGTTAAATTCCAGAAAATACAAATTGTGTTATTGAAATGTTCAGTATTTGTGCATAAGAGCTTCCAGATAAAAGGAAATATAAATGTTAATGTCAAAATTATGTTTTGTTATATTATGTTTTTCAAAAACTTTATTAATTGCATTTAATAATTATATTACTGTGCTTTTTCAGGACTTAATCAATTTTGTCTATTTTGCATCTATTCTGGCTCAAACCATTGGAAATTATCACAGCTATACTGTACAGGTTAAAAGATCAGCATCTATGAGTCACTTAGTGTCAAGATAATAACCTCTAGACTTGAAAATAAAAATATTTTTTTTTCATTGTACTTTTATCTAAATGCATAAAAGAAACAGAACAGAAACTAATTTAGTAAATTTAATGATACTCTAAAACATTTCAGTACTTATGTCAACCACCATCTTTCAATAACTTTATTTTAAAGTGATTAGTACTGGTATGCCAGCCCATATGGATTGTGTGTATGAGTTATCAGGTTCACTTTAAGCATGGTTTATTCTAGAGGATCCAGGAAAGTGAATCAAGATGATGGAAGGTTATCGAAATAATCCTTAGGTGATTTAAGTACAAAGTTGAATATACTGATTCTTATTAGTGGATTTTTAATTACCTATCTAATTATGCAACAAATTAGCAACACAGTACATAAAAGATTAAAACAAGGCTTTGTTCAGAAAATATTATGTGGAAAAAGGAGCAGTAAGTAAATTACAAAGAATTACAATTTATTTTACAAAATTCTATACACATTCAGAAAAATCAATCACTCTCATACAAGCAATCATTTTGAACACACAATAGTTTTGAAAAAAAAAAATTTATATATTTTATATAAAGATTTTGATATATCTACATTTGTAATTGACAAACTAGTAGAGATGACTAATAAGTTATAATTAACAATATGAACTGCTTCTTAAGTAATAAAGTAGTATTAATTAACTCGCTAAAATCAACTTTCCGCATGAAGAGCAGCAACGAATTCTTCTAACTTTTCTTGTATGTGTCTGACACGTTCTAGAAAGAAATTAAAAAAATAAAAATAATTAAAAAATACTCAAACACTATATTTGGTCTAACATTAGTGTTAACTTTACAGAGCAAAATTTTTTTCTCAACAATTGAAAAGTGAAAAAAATCTCAACAATAAAAGTTCAGTCAAAGCAGCAGAATCGTGCTACAGACACCTTAACTTCCTTGCACTAATCCATCTGAAGCTAGATGGGCTTCAATCTCTTATCACTGGCAATGAATTTCTTTATCAACAATCCCTCACAATGAACAGCTTCAGCCTTAACTTTTGCGTCAAACTGGCTTTATAGAAATAGTATTAAAAATTTTATGAGTCAAAACTGGTACCACATTTTCAAAGATCATGGCATAAACTTTTGAAAATGGTTAATTTTGAATATAGATAAAAATTGTACTAACTATGTAGTAAGTGCATGAATTTTAAAGTTTGGACTATTTTTTTAAAGATATCAATTTCACAAATATTCTAAAAGGCATTCTTTTTTTTATATACATAGAAATATATATGTGTATATGTTGCACGTGTGGCTTATCATTATATTGCTTCAAGTCAAGCCCTTTATATACATATATAAATAAGTGCATGAATTTTAAAGTTTGGACTATTCTTTTAAAAATATCAATTTCACAAATATTCTAAAAGGCATTCTTTTGTTTATATACATAGAAATATATATGTGTATATGTTGTGCGTGTGGCTTATCATTATATTGCTTTAAGTCAAGCCCTTTATATACATATATAAATAAAGGGCTTCACTTGAAAAAAATTAATGATAAGCCACATTTTTAAACCTGTTTCAAATAGCATTTATAAAAAAAGCAGTGCAATTTCCTAGTAGTTATTCAAATATTTTTGTGTATTGTGTTGTAACCTATTACTTTGAAAAAAGTGTTGATTATCACTATATTGTTCCAAGCCCTACATGCAGATAAAAAATAATTGCAATTAAATTAATTTGTTAGAAAAAAACAATATTTTTAAAATTGCTGTTATATAATACACACTTGAATTTTGCCAGCATATATATAGTAGACAGAATACTATTCTGATACAATTACCAAAATTTTTAAAAGTTTGGAGAATATTCTTCCAAAATGTGATTTCAGTTTTGGCATATAAAATATTCATGGTAATTGGAGTAAGAGGTAGTTTTCTTTTCTTAGTGAGTTTAGCAGAGCTCATTCTAGGCAAAAAAAAAAAGGGCAGGGTGCAAAAGTTTAAGAAAAAGGGCATTATTATTCTAAAAAGGCAATAATTTCTTTATATGGGCTTTACACGTTCTATTAATAAACATTGTCAATATTTTTTTTTACTTTACTAAAAGTATCAAAGCAATCATATTAATTTCTAATTTTTATTAATAAATTAACATATATAGATCGAGTTAATGAGCTAATTAGCTTAGTAATTTATTTAAAATGCATGCATATATTAATAAAATAATAAATGTATGTTTTTAAGTGTCTGTAGTTATGATTTAATAATTAAAATGATTAATAATAATTATGATTTAATGATAGTGGAAGTAACTGCAAACTTTCAAAGACAAGTGCAACAAGGGGGTGTGATAGCTATTTTTCCTTACCCATATAAATCTATGTATTGACAGCAATGACAAACTAAATAAAAAGAGTTGAAAATAAAGAAGGGTTGAGGAAAGAAAGGGCAAAAAGGGTATGGAGTCTATTACATCAGGGGCAACAGGGTGGATTCTTTTGACTAAAAGGGCAGCAGGGTGCTGCACCCTGTTTACCCTGCCTAGAATGAGCTCTGAGTTTAGAATATTTTTTATGCCATGATATATAACAATCATTAATACAATAAACAGAAAAATATTGAATGATTACTTATACTGATTGCTAATAAACAGAAAAATATTGAATGAATACTTATACTGATCACTAATTAATTAAAACTGATTACTAATAAACAGAAAAATATTGAATGATTACTTAGTTCTTCAGCAAGAGTAACTCTCCGTCCAGTCAATAACTTTTTCTTCTTTTCATTATCTTGACTAAAATCTTCTAAGACTTCCTTTATTTCCTTTTCTAATCTACGAGCTAAAAAAAAAGTTTAAACTTGAATAAATACTAAAATAAAATTACAGGATTAAAATTTTAAGCAAATATAAAATTCAAATATATAGTTCAGATATTTTTGGAACACTCAAGAAACAAATAAATACTTAGATACTGAGCAAGATAATGCATTCCTAATCAAGAATTAGCATCATTATTTAATATAGATTGCATTGGTATAAATACATCAATCAGGTGTCTATTATGGTCAAATCGTTTTTTTCTAACTTCTTTATTAAGTTTATAATTCAGTTCCAATTATTAAAATAAAACATCTGAAAACAGCAATATGTTTTCTATGAAAGTTAAATAATATTAAACATGAATTCAATAGTTTATGAATATTTATATTCCATGAAAAAAAAAGAGTCTTAAAGCAAATATAATTTAAAATAATATAATTCATGATCAATTTGAACAAAACACTAATTAATTTTGATTAATTGATAGTTTCATAGGTCTGTAGATAAAAATTTTAGGAAATCTTTTTGAAGTTTAAGCTTGAAATAGTGACTCTGAATTGATATAAGTAAATAATAAATATAACTAAATAAATGTAAAATAAAAACTTCAGAATTAATAAAAAAAATTACAAAAGAAAATTTCTTAGACATTATTCTACATAAGACTACAGTATGCAAATTGTTATTATTTTTTAAAAAATTGTTTAATGATAAGAAAATTAAATATCATAGAAATAAGTTTTTTTACTAAAAATCTATGGAAACCCACCAAAAATCTATGTTTTCAGTTGAGCATAAAATAAAATATAATATTTCAAATATAATTATAATATAAGCATAAAATATAAATATAATTAAATTAGCATATGAAATATATTTAAAATTAGACAAATTAGGAAAAAACATAATGCAAGACAATTAGTAATAAAAGTTGTAATTTTAAAACATTTGTTTAGATTAAATTAATTTTTCAGCAAATTTTTTACCATTTTTCAAATTTCAGAATTTCTAATTTTGCATAATTCTATCCAAGCATTTTTTTTAATAATGCTGCTCTCAACATCAGAGTTAATTTTGGGTTACCTTCTACATTACATACAATTACATATTATACTTGATCATGCATATATATTTACATAACAAGTAAAGGTAATTAAAAATAAAGAAATTTACCTTCTGCATTCATTATTTGTTGTCTAAGAGCATTTGATGTAGTTTGTAGCATTTTCTGTATTCTCCAAAACAAAACAACATCATTGCAATCCATCTAAAAGTTTTGAGAGAATAATACTTTAGGTACCATCAGTTTAAACTGACAATTTAAATGAACAAAATGATAAGAAATAAATAAAAAAAAAAACATTTTACAAGCACTAAAAATAATATGAATAAAGCTTTATGTATTTAATACATTAACATTTAATTAAAAACAGTTTTTTACTTCTGAATCCAATCCTTGTTGATAGAGATAGAAAGCCCTTTTACAATCATAGGCTTTCTGTAAGGACCTTTCTAGAAAATGCTTTCTATGAAGCGGATGCCATACTTGTTTTATCTATTAAAAAATAGAAAAAAAATTACAATACTTAATACAGGATGACTAGCATTGCAGAAATCAAGAGAAAATAAAAGTACAAATTTAATTTTGATATCATACACAAAGTGAAAAACCCTGAAACTTTTAAGCGAAACAATTAATATCAATTTATATACCATACAATGTTTTATATTTAACATAATTTTTTGAATTAACATTTATCATTAAATTATCTACTAATGCAGAATATCATACCTTTAAGAGTAAATAATTCAAGAAAAAACTTACTTCTCACAAGAATCGTGACATTGGATTTTAAAACCGCGTGAATAAGAAACAAGATATTAGATTTTAAAATCACAAGAATATGAATCACGATGTCGTATTTTAAAAACGCGAAAATACAAATTGCAATATTGGATTTTTAAATCGTGTAAATACGAATTGCAATGTGTGGTTTTTAAATCATGCATAAATGCGAAAATCGATGTTTGATATTACAAATGCGTGAATAAGAATTGCAATATTGGATTTTAAAATAGCGTGAATACGGATCGCAATATTGGGTTTTAAAAACGTGTAAATACAAATAACAATAATGGACTTTTAAATCGCATGAATAGGAATTGCAATTTACGATATTTTAAATTGCGTGAATACGAATTGTTCACGTGGTCTAAAAAGCCTTTAAATTAGGTAAATACGAAAATCGATAGTTGATTATAAAATCGTGTGAATAAGAATCACGATATTAGCAGTTCCAAATGGTGAAAATCCACCAAACCAAAAGAATAAAATTGGCGGAAGAATCACATAAGATGTAATTCTTCAAGTAATTGGCGGAAGAATGTATGTAAACGTCTCGTTCACGGGATTTAGAAAAAATTTCAACATTTTGTCAGATTATTACTTTTTGTTTCGCAGAAGTCTGTAAACCAATTGTCCGGAAATACGCGTAATTCTACAATATTCTTGCAAAATTTGCATGCCACGCTTCTAGTTTTTAGATTCCTAAGAAAGATACGAAAAATCTGGAATTTCGGGGTGCCCCCGGAATACAATCACCCCTGATAATAGTTATTAACTGTCCAAAATAAAAAATGGGAAATCACAAACTTATTAAAAAATAACGCTGATTTGATAGTTTACAATAATACTAAATAAACTGACTTCGTTTATATTAAAATTATTTCGATGAAATTATTTCTTTTTTAAAATGAAGTGAAATTAAAAGTAGTAATTTAATAGGATTCAATTGTTACAACAATTTAAAATGAAAATCTATTCAAAAATACCATCATTACATATTTAACGAAAATAAATCATAAAATAAATACAAATAAAACGAATTGTCTTTTCTAAACCAATAGGCAGAAAAATACTCGGTTAATTATTTTTCGCTCTATAAAATTTTTTTTAAAGACAAACAAATAATTGGGATATGAAATGCATTATTTTTTCCACATGGTTTCAAAGTCATAAACACATATTTTTGTAGTTTTATTTTAAAGACATACTTAAAAGAATTTATTCTACTTAAGAATAATTTCAGCAAATTTTATCGCAAAAGAATTATAAAATACACTATTTTTAACTTCAGAATTGCTTTGTTCAGAACAGAAAGTTTCAACAATTTTCAATATAATTTTATTAATAAAGCACTGAACAAACCATAATTTAGAACATTTTTAGAGTACTGTTGCATTTTAATGGTATTTATATATAAGTTGTCAATATTCCCTGATACCAAGATTTAATTAAAACTTGCAAGTTCAAGACATCCTTAATTTATAATTAGGGTTTTAAAAATCTTATAACTAAAATACAGTGAACAGCTTGATGAACATTTCTGTACAAAAAGTAATTTTAACAGGATTCCTGCTCAATTTCAGATGTTTCAAAATTTTTGTTTATTTTACTTTTTATTTTTTTTACTTTTCAAGGTATATCAGGAACATTTCAAGGAAAATCAAGACCATAATTTATCTATACCATGCAATGTTCATCAGAAAAGTTTGATTTTTTATTTTCAAGGTCAAATATCAGATTTTGTGAGCAAAAAAATATCACTGAATAAGGATGGAAGCAAGGAAGTTTCCCTAAAATATGTAATTTTCACATCAAATAATTGTAATTGATGCAAAAATTATTTAATTCGAATCTCAATAACTGTTACTGAAAATTTTCAGACTGGTTATTTTCCAGGTATGATGTAGAAACTTTCCAGGTAAGATGTAGGAATTTTCCAGGTTTTTGTAAAAATTTGCAATTTTCCCTGACTATTCTCTGTTTTTAATACTCAAAATAAAAAAAATCAGAAACCTGACAATGCCAGGTTTTCCCTGTCCTCCCTGAGGTGTGGGAGCCTCATTCTAAGAATTGCCTCTGAATTCACCATTTTAAAAACAGTAGAGGACAAAGTAAAATTTTTAAACTATAAAACTCTAATCTTACGCGATTTGTTACTGCATCCGATAGAAATAATGAATAAGGATTTGATACCTGAATTCATCACAGTAAAAATTTGATATAGTATAATCGTTAACTCAATTTCTTTTACATAAAGTGTATTTGTAGAAAATGGGAAGTTCTGAACACACAAAAAAATCAGGAATATCAGAACAACTATTGAGTACTGCTAATTACTGCACAGAATTATCTAAACAATATTTGTCTATCTACATTCAATCATGTCAAAACTTCACCTTTTCCTCAAAATGAATACACGGTTATTCAATAAAAATGAATTTATTTTAATTTGAACTTTTTTCATATTAATGATATTTGATACAAATAACAATGTATATTAAATAAAATCTAATGAAACTAAAAGAAATAATTAAACTGAAAGAAATGAGAAAAGCAGCAATTTTTTAATTACATTAAACAATTCTATCAGAAGAAAACAAATATTTCACATACTAAATCATAATCAGCTTCCACATTTGCAGCTTGAAGATTTCTTTTTATAGTGGTAAGTTCATCAGCTGTTAAAGTTGGGCTGTGAGTCTGAATAAGAATTAAAACAGATAAAGATCTGGCAATAAGATCACAGATAAGATAACAGAAATAAGATCTGGCAATTAATTTTTTTAGTTTATTTTAATTGTTACTTTCCATTTACAGATTTCATATGTTGACATGTTTTTCTCCCAGAGAACTTTTGGTTTATGTTTTTAGATATAATTATGCGTCTCTGGATTTTCCTTTTTTTATTTTAACCATTGAATTTTGTCTTCCATTATGGGTCCTCAGGGCACAGTCAGTTTTTGGTTGAACCACTGACTACAGAAAGGTTCCAGCATGTTAGCAGGGAAGTGTGACCCCTGAAGAAGCACTATTTTTGCTGACATGCTTATTTTTAAAATTTTGTTAGGTTTTTATTTAAGTTCTCTCCTATTTATTTAAATTGCATACCAAAAACAATTTTGGTTTTATGCTGCTTTTAGCGCTTTTCGATTTTGACTTATTGTACTTAAATTTTGGTCCTCATTTTTGTTTAATTACATTTTTTATACTTTTAATGAATAAGTTTAAATAAGCATATAAACAAAAATGTTACATTGAAAATATATAAAAAAGAACCACAAATGCCTCTTAAAATTTAAGCAAACTGACATACATTTCAAAAATACATTTTTGTATGATTTCCTAAATAAATATTAAATGTTAACCCATTTTAACTGTATCTCAAAAATAGTAATAAAGTTATAATTTCTTTCATAATAATAAACAAATATAGTAACTTTTATTTTTTTTCAATTTTTTAAAGTAAAAAACACTGAGCATTTTTCCAATTGAATGGAGTGTAAATTGTCATTTACACTACAGAATCGTTCTTATAAAGTATAGAGCTATCTTTTCACTACTGCACAAAATCCACATTTGGAACTAATAGAATTATGAGCTTTAGATAGCTAGAAATAAATTAGGAATGTTCTTTTTTCTTCTGCCTGTATCATCTTTCCTGTATTTTTTTTTTTAATCTTTCACCAGGATTAGGGAAATCATTTCGAATTTTTCACCCTTTCTCTTCTTCTATGAAGAATATTGTTAGATACTGGATATGAATGGAAAACTGGGATATGGCTGTATACTGGAATAGAATTTGGTTGAATCAACATTTGGAAGTAACTGAATTATAAACATTCGATAGCTAGAAATAAATTAGGAATGCTCTTCTGCATAATCTTTTTTGTATTTTTTATCCTTCATTTGGATCAGTGAAATTATTTCCAATCATTCACCACTGGCTAACTGTTTTGAAGAATAAAGTAAAACTTTTGCAAATTCCAAATTATACAGGAAACCTAAAGTTACATATTTTAAATTTATCACTGACTACACCAGCAGTTGGCAACCTATAATACCAGAAAAAAAATAATTAAGTTTCAGGTACTGTCACTTTGTCGCTACAGCTCAAATATTTTATATTAAAACCAAAAATATTAAATGTTTACTTTATAAGTAGAATAATTTATAAAATGCTTTTTTGTATTTTAGATATGAAAATATGTAATATTCTAAAAATAGAATTCTTTTAGAAAATGCATAGTTTGATGCCCTATAAATCTTCATTCAAAAACTCAAATAAGCAAATGGGAAGCAAAAAAGCTAGTTGAAACCAATAATAGAAAGCTATTATAAGGAAAAGAAAATACTGACATAATTAAAAATATATCTATTATAAATTGTAGATTATGATAGCAGAAACAGTAATAAATAATAAAATTATTTTTTACATTAGTTTTTTAATAAAATTCCAGATAGTCTAAATTATTGTTCTGTTTTCTTTACTACAACTTTTGAAGTTTTTCGTCCATTTGTAAATTTGGAAATGCATCTTGTTATGGAATAAAAACAAAATTTTAACTATTATTATATTGGAAACTTTATTCACATCAGAAATAAGTAATAGGAAATAACATTCGTCATGTTTTAACCTCATCAAAAATATGCGCCTATTTTCAAGGCTTGATAGAAATGTAAAGAAACAAAAATGGTTTGAAAAAAAAAAAAAAAACCTTATAAAATTGTCAACGAAAAATAAAAGAATAAAGGCAAGAAACAATAATGAAAAAACAAAAACAAAAACTCACAGAAACTGAGAGAGAAAAAATTAAAAACAGAACAAGAAAAATCACAGTGGCTGAGAGGCAAATCAGGATTAAATGCATTTCCATGAGTTATGGAGAGGCACTAATGTTGCTGGTAAGAGAATCAGCATTAAAATAACATTTCTGAGCATCAAGATGAGCTGATGTAACTGGGAAATAAATTTAGCATTGTCAAAATTAAAATTATACCAAAGATTCCAACAATGTAAAGCAATTGAAATGATTCCACAGCTGCTTCACATTGTTGGAATCTTGAGAATAAATTCAATTTCGACAATGCTAAAATTATTTCCACTCCAGTTACATCAGCCCATCTTGATATCCTGGAATCTTGTTTTATTCACTTGAATGTTGATTCCCTTGTTAACGACATTACTTCCTCTCCTTAATGGATGAAAATATTTGTCAAATATTAAATTTTGTGAGAAACAAAATTTACTAAGCATTAGTGTGTAAATTTTATAATACACAAGTATAGAAATTAAAGAAACAATATTTTGCACTAGAATCCTAAAAACTCAAGGTAATAGTTAAATCACAAATAGCAATAATTAATTAATAGTGATATCAGCTATAAAGTAATTTAAGATGTTACTTATGATTAAGAACTAAAACAAAATTATAGACATAGCTGAATTTTTACAGGAAATAATAGCAATTGTTAAACTTAGTAAAAATCAGATTAATTTACATTAAACCTCAATCGCAACTTGCCGATATCTGATATTTAAGATAGGTTAATTTCCAAGCTTGTCACAAGCTAGATCAGCTATTATGCATTATTCCCTGAAAATGGAAAATCTTGTTTTTTCTTTTCTAAGTTATTTAGCAATGTAACTATTTATAAATAAAAATCTAAAGTATCAAGCCATATAACAATGATGAAGCATAAATGTTAGCTTTAGGATTTTCTTTCGGCACTCATAGCTTTGGAAACTAGACAGACTATGCATGTCAAGCTTGGATGGTTTTTTCAGGTTTTTCGAGTGAAAGTTATTTTAAAATTTTCAATAATATATTAAAAAAAATCGCTATTAATTAGCTATTGCAGGGTCATGTACTGGAGGGTGTGTGGAATATATTCGGAATTTCTTAAGCCATTTGTTTTAAAAGAAAATCTTGGCAAAGTTTGGAAGAAATTTAAAAATACTTAAATAGTTTTCAGATCTAAAATAATACTCACATAATGATTAAATAGTTTTTCAATTTCTATTTTAACATTAGACCACAATTGTTGATCAGATGTTCTACTCATCCAATGCAACCAACGTTCAGAGAAAGACGGCCCTTCCATTTCATAAATATAAGCATTAGCTGAAAATTTTTTAATAGTTAAAAAAATGTACATTTTACAACAATGAATAAATAAAATTGCCTGAAATAGTTATGATAGACATTTTATAAGTTCATGGATATGAACAAACATTAAATAATATATATATATATATAAAGTATTAAAATAGGTTGAAAACATCAAAAAATATTATTGCAGAGTATAATCATTAACTTTAATGAATATTTACTATGGTGTGGGAAAAAAAAATCTTTTAATTACACAAAAATTTTGATTTATAAGCAAATATCAGTTTCTTAAGATTTTTGATTATTTTTATTGAACAAGATAATTATTAGTAAAGGGTGAGATAAACTAGCTATAAAGAACAAAAAAAAAAAAAAAAAAAAAAAAAAAAAAAAAAAANTAAAAAAAAAAAAAAAAAAAAAAAGATATATTATAAGACCTTAAGAGACATTAGTTTATTAAAATATCCTCAATTTTTTAAAAAAACAACAATTATTGCTCGTCGAGTGGATAGAGGCTAGTGAATACCTCTAGTCTAGTGAATATTATTTTTGTAAAACAATTATTACAAGTCTGGTCAAAAGATAAATTATAAATTACACACAAGTTATAATGAAATCTTAAGAGACATTAGCTTTTTAAAATGTCCCAAGCTAATTTAAAAAAAAAAAAAAAAAAAAAAAAAAAAAAAAAAAAAAAAAAAAAAACGATTTTTCTAGCTTAGTGAACTACTGAGCTGCAAACATGGTTATATTTTAAGAAAAAAAAATTCAAAACAAGAAAAAACCGAAATAATAAATAAATGTTTCTAACAATATATTTTAATTATGTATATTATCTTATACATTATGTAACTGAAGGATTTAAGGTTCTCAGCAAAATTTTATAAAAGATTCTATAGAGATCTTTTAAAGTTACTTTGCTAAGTCTTTTAATGCCAAACCACAATGAATAAAGACACAAAGTGGCACACATTTTTAAACATATACACATTTCTACAAAGATCTTTCAGAAGGAAATGTTTACAAGTTATTTTGTTAGGTCTTTTAATGAAGGTACAAAGTGACAGACATTTTATACGAATACAAATTTTTCCTTAAAAGTATATAAATAAATACATAATATAAATACTTAAAACAAAATCTTACTTTGAGCCAGCCTTTCTTTAACACTAGCTTCTAAAAACTTTATAGCTGAGTCCCATTGTTGCTTATCAGTAACAGCTCTGTCTTCCAAAGCATTCAATTGAATAATTCGCTAATTATAAAGCAAATAATGAAAACATACATAAAAACCATTGCAATCATAGACAACAGAATTACATAAACAGCATTTTTCTATAGAGTATACTGCAGTATTTTATAAAAAAGTGAGAACTACATAAGTACCAGCATATCAACGGCCTTTTCTTCCCATGAATGGTTTCGTATAGCATCATCAACTACTGCATTTTTTAAGTTGTCAAATATATCATCATGCTCTTTTGAAGACTTGGATTTTTCTAAAATTTTGCAGAATTCATCTTGCAAAGTTTCCCAACCAACCTTTAAAAATAATTAATAGTTAAAGAATTGATGAAAGTAAATTTAATTTAAAACCAGATAATAAGAAAATTAGCTTCCAGTTTAATTTTAAAGAGAGAACACTTTCTTACTATATAATTGTTAAAAAGAATAGAAAAAATTCAAAAAGTGATTTTAAAAGTTAAGAATTCTAAGATTTAATAATTTTAATAGTTTGATTTTGGAACTTTTTTTTAAAAGTTTTAGGTAACAGTAATAAAAGTTAAAAAAATTAGTATATGCCATTTATTGCAGCAATCATTGATGGCATCTTATTATCTAAATGAAAAATTTATTACCAGATTAGTTAAAAACTACTGCTGAAAGCTCATTTATTTATTTGCGTGCATTATGTCTTAACAAGTATTTTCCAGGAATTTTTTAGGTTTTAACAGAATGCAATATTCTCCAACTTTTTTTTATTTTATTCTCATTTTATTTATTTTAATCTTTTTTCTCCAGAATCAAATTTTTTGACAATTGTAGGAGACTTGTATCATGAAGTACATTAAAATAAATACAGCACACAATTGCCTTCAGTTGAGGCAAAACTTTATACATAATATCTGACAAAATGTAAAGACTTTGACCAATAACACAAATAAACTTGTAATTTTTTTTTTTTTTTTAGAAATATATAAGAGTTAATTTCTAGCACACACAATTTCTATAAATAGGCAATTTTAACTTATTCATATAAGCAGACAATAAAATTTTTAGTAAAAAAGGTATCCAATAATAATATATAATTGTAAATACTCACAGAAACACATTTTTTTGGTAGCATTTCATCAGCCCAATGTTTCATTTTAATATCTACAGCAGTGTTGAAAGATCTGTAATAAACATATATTATAATTTTTCTTTTAAAGTTAACAACTTTAAGACTGTAGGAAATGAAAACTACATTGTATTTTGATCATACCCAGGACTATCTGAGTGCAGAGCTTGAACATAGATATTTTCAAATACATATGCTGACATTTTTTTCCACAGCTCTTTCGATAGTGTCTCTTCCCTGAAATATGTAAACATATAAGCTTAAACATTGAATAGTTTATTTTACTTTAATACATACCATGTACCTAATATTAGGTACATATTAGGTATTAGGAAATAATATTAGGGACTTTTAAGACCCTAATATTATTTCCATACATCATCAAAATAGAACAAAACATTACACCGGAACTTGTCTGCCTCTAAAATATGACATTCCGTTTATCATTACTAGTTAAAGATACATGATTATTCAAAGTTGAATATCTCCCATGAAATTACTTTGTGGATATTTCATTCAAGAACACTGTTTTATGATTCCTCTAATCTCAGCTACATATCTCAATCAATTTCGCAAATAAGACTTTCAAATTTTTTTATTCATTTATCAACATTTTCAACTAATTACAGTCTAGATCTAAAAATAAAAATCATCTCTATTATCTACAAACATTGTTGTTATCTTAAGTATTTATTCAAAAATTTTTAACTGCAAATAACATAAAAAATATTTTAGGGAATAAATGGAGAAAAATAGTAGATTTGAAGTAATTTATTAAAAAAAAAAAAAATCATGTAGTAAAATCTGTTTCACTTTAAAAACATCATTGAAAAAACAAACAAAAACAATATAGCAAACTTTATCAGTATCAATAAAGAAATAAATATTTGAAGTACAAACCAATGCTTGGGAGAAAGTTGACTTAGATTAATAATTTCATCCAAAAGTTCACCCCTGGCTTTTTCAAAGAGCTCATCCTATAGAGAAAAATATTGAATAACAAAGCATATAATAACAATTTAAAAATTAAATGTTTTACAATTAGAAATTTAAAACCATCAAAAAAACTTACTAGGGTATTCAGTTTTACTAATATAATTAAGGGCAATATAGGTATTGATTAGTACAAAAACTGGGCACGTATGTAAAATTAGTTCTTTCCAATATGAAATAGAAAACTACATAAATTAATTGTATTTTTTAATTTAATTTCCTGTCAATTTAATAGTGAACATCATATTACTTACCCTGTCCAGTTCTCGAAGCCTAGGGAAATTATTTTTCCATTCTGCTTCTAAGTTGAAACGAGCAGCTAGAATAATAAAATGTCAATTAAATATTGAAAATAAATGAATTAGTTAATTTAAGACATCTAGTTTTAAAAACAATCTTTTTAATCTGCAAATACGGGTTAGTTCCATCAAAAAAGTCTTCCACGAAGGCAAATTTGTCTTCTGAATTGGGTTTGTTCGTATTTTTTTTTTAAATTCATGTTTTTTTTTAAAAAATTCAAGTTGAAATTTGACAATGGACAATGATTTTTAAATTTAGATACACTTTTAAGGCAAAAATATTACAATAGCAAAATTATTTTTCAATATATGGGGAAAATATATAAAAATTTACCAGTCATAAAGGATTTTTATTTGTAGTGACAATTTTTGAAAATATCTTCTTACTTTACCATATTTTTGTACTGATTTTTTATTATATTTTTTAACTTTTACAAATTATGTCTACATTTTCACAAATTAGGCACTACCTAGGTACCAAGACAGATCCCTGTTAACAAGTGCACCCGGATTTACTCATTTAGTGGAATAAGACCAGGTGAATCTACTACTTTTAGAAAAAAAAGTAGCACATCAATGATTTTTGAGGAATGAAATATTATACACAACTAAACAATGAATATCCTGATTATATCTATCAGTTTTTAGGTTAAACAGGCCTTTGAATCTTGACTACCCAATATTATCCCACTTTTCCCTACTATTAGTTACCAAAAAAATATAAAATTAAAAGAATATTTGTAAAAATACTCATACAATAACTAAAAAACAAACAAACTATACAATGATTAATACAATAAGAAGATAAAAACATGGACCTTCATTAAAGAGAGGACCAGACTAAATGTGACAATAAAATATTATAATCAGACAATTAATAATAATGACTATCTTTTTGAGATCTGGAATTGTTCAAATGTGCGACTCAAAAATCATATAAAGCCAGAAACAGTTTAATTTGGAAAATAACATGGATTCATATTTATCTCGAAAATATTAATTATCATAAAAACTTATAATTTATAAGAGCACAAAAAATGCGGCAAATAAATGTTTAAACACAAGTGTGTTTAAAAATATGTTTAGAAAAAAATTAAAACAGGAAATGAACATTGAAAAGCGATAAATGAATAACATGATTTGCTTTTTTCTTTAAAATGACATGCTGAAATTCATACAGTTATTTGCTACAATTAAAAATAAAAAAGATCAATGAAAGCCAGTTATATTATGATGATTATAAAATTAGACATTTTTTTTATAACAGCAAAATTGAAACAAAAGAGGACAAAAGATGTAATGAAGACATGTAAAAAAATATATGAGTGGAAGTAGTAGTTTCATTAAATTTTTATGATACTCATTTTGAATTTTATAGCTTCATCATATACATCATTTTACTTTTGTATCAACAAATTTAAAACAAATAAAAAGGTACACAGCCTGCTGTAGGCCAAAAGGATTATTTCATGACCAATAGCATGATTATAGCAATGTGGTCAGCATTATGCACAAGCTAGTATTCATAAATCTGAAATCTAGGTCGGTCCAACCAAAAGTGTGCAATGACAGTCTCATGCCTTAACCACTGAGCAATCCTGGCTTCATAAATCAATCAATCAAGTAAACTTAATCTTACCTTTAAAAGCATCGGCTTGTTGCTCAGCAGATGCTTTTACCATTTTCCAGAAGCAGTCAGAAACTGCAAAACTTAAATTTTTTGTAGAGCACTGAGAAGTGTTCAAAATACCAGTCCTTAAAAAAGGAGAAGAAAAAAAAATTAGCATAATTTTACAATTGATGCAACTTTGTTAAATCAAATTGATAAGTATGGTATTTTTTATGAAAAAAGAAAAAAGTTGAAGATTTACCGGCACAATTTGGAGTTTTTGAAAAAGGATTCTTCATAATTTTTAATAATGCTGATACTGTCATCTTTACCACCTATTTGAAGACAAATAAACAATTATAACAAAACAAAAAATAGAAAGTATCATTAGTTTGAATGAATGAAAACTATCCACTAATGTAGACAGTAAATGAAAAGTAAAGACAGAATTAAAGGGTGAGATAATTTTGACATAAATAAAAAAGTTATATAGTTTTGACATAATATGATGATATTCAGTAATACTGATTGTTTAGGCTTGAACATAAAAAAGATAATAATAAAAAATATAAGTAAAAGTTTCAGAACACAAGATATAAATAAATGTTACACATACATTTATTTATATCTTGTGTTCTGTTTACATTTAAAAACTCATTATTGAATAGAATATCCTATTATCTAGGTGAAATTATCTATTTTTAATCAACATTAATGTTAAAAAAAATTGTGGGCTACAGAAGAATTCATTAAAAGAACATACCACGACCAGTAACAACAGCAAAATAACCCAAAGCCTTCATAGGAAATAATTTGCCATCTAAAATTCTTTTAATCTAAAAAGTCAAAAATACAATTCAAGAAAATATAACACAGATATAAAATGCATTTGCAAATATTAAAATACATTTTATATTGTACTTAATAATGGCATAATTACCCTTGTTGGATCAGCTAAATTCTGTTCAGCTAAGTCAACTTTAGTCAAAACAAATATAGTTCTTCTTCCTTGAGGATCCATTTGGCTAACCAAGTCAGTAACAATACTGCGTTCAGCATCAACAGAGCCATCTAGTACACATATATAGATTCAAAAAAACTATTTGATGATCTCGAGGATTATAATGAATAACTATTCAATAATCTACGTCATATTATATGTCATGAATATTCCAGGAGTAACTAATACCAAAATGATTACAATTTCAAAAACACAATAGTACTACAATTGAATAAAATATTTAGTTAATATTTTCAAGCAATAAGTAATAAAATAATTTAAGAGATAGTTAAAAAAAACAAACAAGAATAATTAAATAAATAATCTTAAGAAACTGAAGTAGTAAGATATTATCGATTAAAAACTTCATTCGCTTCAAAAATGTGTAAATAGGAAATAACAGTCAAAATGTTTCAAGCGCAACAGACACCCATTTTCAAGACAAGAAATAAAAGTGAAAGTAATTTGTTGTTAATGACACTAGTTTCTCACCACCTCTCCATAGCGCATGGAAATGCATTTCACCCTGATTTGTCCCTCTAGACCACTGCGTTGTCTCTTGCTCTGTTTTTCATCTTTTTTCTCTTTCAGCCATTACATTTTTTCTAGTTTTTATTTTCCATTTTTTGTTGCCAACTATTTGCTTTATTTTCAAATCACTTTTCTTTCTTCTTTTTCACACCTGGCAAGTCTTCAAACTGGATGGCTGTTTTTAAGCGTTCGAAACATGTCGGCTGTTATTTCCTGTTTATGCATTTTCGAACGAACAAGTTTTTAATCAGGTAACAACTTAGTATCTTAGTACTAAGCATTATTTTTATGTTCCAAACGAATTAACACATAAAAATAATAACTAATATAATTTTTTAAATAATCAAAATTACCTTGTATGCAGAGAATAATGGAGTTTGGGTTACTCATATATAATTGCGTCATATCACGAATGGCTTCCCTGGTTCCATCCATCATATCTACAGTGACAGTCTGATAAAAAGACAAAATAAAAAATCATTTAAATTTCAACATTCATTGTGAAATAGGCAGCATGAAGTAAAAATTATGGGAAAGTCTAAACACTAAAAAAAAAAAATAGTGATCAACAAGAAAGGTAGTCGGAAACAAAATTATTGTATATTTCATTTTACTAAGAAAATGACGATGTTAAAATACAAGATTCAAAACACTGGGTGTAGGTGTGTGAAAAATGACAAAGTATTTGAAAGATGAGTTTAGAAGAACAGGAGAAAATAGAAATGCACAATTTGCTGCATTCTACTTAGAAAACCAGTTATTTATTCTTGCTAATTTTCACAATTAGTTAAAAAAGTCAGCCAGTAGATAGCGCTGTGGAATAAGAAAAGCTACATAATATTTTCAAAACTGCTGCTAATTACAATCGCGAGAGGAAGATGGAATAAATATAAAAAATAAACTTAGACAATATATCATAATAAAAATTAATTAAGAAATAAAACTAGTTTTGTAATAAATAGAAATTTATTGTACAGTAGAGAACCATTTATCCGGTATCCAGATAACCGGGAAACCAGAAAACCGGGAAACCAGAAAACCGGGAAAATTTTTGCTCGATTTTCCCGCCATTTTAATCTAGAACGAAAAAAGCGGAAATTGGACTCATCCTTGAAGTTGAGTAGAGGAAAAATGGTAAGAAGGGGAAA